TCAAGTATATTTGGGTCTGTAGGAGCAGACAAGAGATTTATGATGTAGGTGACAGGCACTTGATGGATTTGTAGAATTCGTTTTATATTCCAATTGCCGTGACGCGCGCTAATTTTGTTCGTACACGTAGATGGGATACACGTAATGACAGAGAAAAGCCAGCTTATAACATTATTGCTCATGAAAAGGCAGTGAACGCGTTGGCATTTAATCCACATAATGAGCATGTAGTGGCAACTGGAAGCGTAGATATGGTAGATGCATGGGCCCATTAAACGTCTTTTGTTTGTCACACACTCGCTCCGTCTAAGCTCCTCCGATCTCTTATAAACAATTTTCTTAGAACGTGAGTTTGTGGGATTTGCGCAACCTGAAATATAAGCTTCATATGATGGAATATCATAAAGATGAAATACTTTGTCTCAAATGGGCGCCGTTTGACGAAACTATCCTTGCATCATCAAGTGGAGATCGTCGAGTATGCATCTGGGACTTGAGTCGTATTGGAGAGGATCAAACGGCCGAAGATGCTGAGGAAGGTCCTTCCGAGCTACTGGTGAGTGACTCGTATCGGTAGCAGCTCTGATTCGAACGGACTGACTAAAAAATGCAACGTCTTATTATCGTTACAAGTTTGTGCACGGTGGACATACTGACAGAGTAAGAGATTTCTCATGGAACCCTCATACGCAATGGGTCATTGCGAGCGTCGCTGACGATAACATTATGCAAATATGGCAACCGGTATGTTTCTGTTATATACCGTTTATTGATTTATATACAAATTTGACCTAAGCCTTTTTTTTTCATTCGAAATCAAGTCTAATAGCATCGTAACAACCGAGGATCTCGACCCATAAAAGTGACATTAAGCTTACAAAGTATGAACTTGTTTGTCTGAAGATAAACAATCAATTTATTATAGACATTAACCGGTTGATTCCTCTGTCTCGTCACTCTTCTCGTTCTCATGTTTCTTGTGTATAATCAGTCCTTTTCCTAACATCTCGAATGTCAAAGTTCCTTGATGCATGACCGGATCTTTATATTCTTTACAGCAATCGAACAAAGCATCCATCACCAATTTTTTCATCTTCTTCTCCGTATCCACCTCCGACCTAAATCTTCCTTTAGGCCTGATGGACAGCTTCACACGATTTCCCTTATCAAGAAACTCCTGCGCTTGTTCAAGTTTACGTTTGAAATCATGATCAGATACGTTCCAAGTCATTACCAGTTCTTTATGGACGTTTGCCGCACTTCTCGGTTTATTTTTTAGCTTCTGGGCTTTTATCTTCTCGTACTCTAATTTCTTGTCCACCAGCTTACAGATAGGAATAGTTGGATTGTCTGGATCCCGTGATACCTCTACTAACCAGTATTTATCACGATCCATAGACTTTAGAACCTCGCTTAAACCTCGCACTCCTTCCATGCGACCCTCAGCATTCACGAAACGTATTTGACGAGCGTTTATCTCTTCATCGCGCAAATTTCGTGGTATAGAATGCACAAAGAGGGCTGTTGATGTGGATAGTGTACGTTGTTTGGCGTGAATTATACAAGATAAAGAGGAGTATGTGAGTGATCTGGAAAGGAAGCAACGTGAATGTGGCTTAAAGGGATGAATTGCTTGCATCATTGTCCTGATCGCTTGATTATCATGATCATAAAAATCAATAATGTTACACCGATACAAAGAAAGTAACAGTTTTGCTGTTAACAATTTTGGGATTTTGGGATCCGTTAATTTCTTAATTTACAATGCAATGGGATGCGTTAATTTCCCCGACAATGAAAGTTATCTTTGAACAAATATCAAATGGAAACGGTTGACTGTAAATTGCGCATGTAAATAACCTAGTGTCGCGATATTTATTGGAAACAATTGTCGAGGAAACGAACCAGACAATACTGGTCAAAGTTTACGTTAATTATTAGAGACTGTTTCTTAATATTGTAAAGTTAATACTAAATAATTAACAACTCAAATAATTAACAACTCTCATAATTAACGAAATAATAATTTCCCACTTTTAGACGATTGCAAATCGTGCATTGTCCACGTAATATTAATAATTGTAGACTTTGTGTGACATCTTGCGTGACGTGAAACTGCAAGTCAAGTTCTCTCAAATTGTCTAGTATCGAAAAAGTTGGGAGTGCAAAATGCAAAAACCTCGGATAGGGTCTCTCGTTCTTTTCCTCTGCTTACTATTGACAGAAATATTCTCAAGAGGTGTGAAAACATGGCAGAGATGTACCCGCAAAAGCTGTCGGATGTCCGTTTTATTGACCAAATTATACCTTTCGCGGTTTAGCAAAGACGCAAGACGTTTCCATATACAACGAAATATATGAACAATTATACCCAATACCATGTGTTCGGCTATTAAGTGCGACGGGTACGATAGGGTGTCAAGGTAGGTTATTTGCATGTCTCTAATAATGTAAGCATGTTTTGCTCATTGTCCCATAGATCTGTCTCTTAATTCAACCCAAATTGTCTATCATAGCCCGCAGCAAGAAGACGGGGATTTTATACTGGATAGATACGCAAGACACTTTTTCGGTCTTTATCAATAGTCGTTCTCCCGGAAAGTATGCTGTTGTCATGCCATATCCTCTCGTGACAAAGTAAGTCATTTTTCTCCGCGTCTTTTTACACGTCATAATACCAACGCAAACGTCGAATTTCATCAATGAATTAAAAGGCTCCTCTCCGTACATAAAGTGATAATCTTGATGCACTTGAATCGTCAGGGAAACTAGGAGGTGTAATTGCAATTGTCAGTGGCAATGTGTCGGATGTAAATTTATCACCAGAACAATTTTCCCTGGATTCGGCGTGTCCAAATTGTGAGTTTGGTTTATATCGCGACAACCCGCAAAGGTACCAGTGGAACCCTATAGTAAGATATTGTAATTTGATCTAACTTCTTGTACACTGTTGAACTGATTGTAAACTCTGCGTGAGTGGGCTAATTGTATTATATTATGGTCGTGTGTAGGGAAGCGGTCTTATTTATAATAGTTATGACTTTCCCATATTTGCTTTGAATCCTACCGATCTTGCTACAAACACGACGTTTAATGAAATAATGAAGGTTGGTATTGGTAATTATGTATGGCTTTTTCTATCTTCAATTGATTTTTCATCTATTTCTCAACCCCCGTTCTCTAGGGCGCCCAATATAACTCACTGGTAGAATATACGACATTTCCATTAAAAGCGGTTGAATTCTCTTCTTTCATGTATGCCGCTGTAGATGCATCGACTTGCCTTCGACGAAGTGAGTGATTAGTTAAAAATTGATTAATACGCAATTCTATTATGACTCTAATTATATCAAATCGTATCTCCCTACCTTCCTTCTTCACTCACTAGATTGGTGTGTTCCGGTGGGTGGTTTGTCTGTATATGCAACACCTTCGTTTAATATGTCACATGAAGATAATAAGCCTATAGTCGTTGTATCAACGTCACTTGACAGTCGAGGGCTTTTTCACGACATAGTATTGGGTGTGGACAATGGAGTGTCTGGAACGGTAGCATTGCTGGCAGTGGCCGATGCATTAAGCAACGTGAGTGACGAGACTGTTTTTTTTTCTTATTAGCGGAAAATGAGGTTCTTATTAATGGCTGTTTGCCCGACACAATTATTTATTATCCAGTCACCGGTATCGCTAACAGACTTTCCTAAACATATAATGTTTACTGCATTCACGGCTGAGTCATGGGGCTTTGCCGGATCTCAAAGATTTGCCAATGATATCAGCACGCCGTTTGAGTGTCACAACTCGTCCAAATCAGCCAAAGCATGTCCTTACACTAATGCCGGATGTACGGCTCCTTGTGTGCGTGATCTGGATTTTACTCGAATCAATTTCAACAACATCGACTCTATATTTGAAATTAGCCAAGTGGCAACACCTGATCAGTCATATTATGCTCATGTGGATAATGCGAGTGATCCGGTGACTTTGGCGATTGTTGAACGGCTGTCTGCAATATCCGCAGCAGCAAACGGAACCTCTTTTATAAAGCCTGCTTATGCTGACGCACCAGATAGAGGTTTGCCGCCATCAAGTTCAATGGCTTTTCTGGAAAAGAATCGGAAAATTCCTGCTATCGTGTTGGGTGATTACAAGGACAACTTGAACAGGTATATAACATATATTTGTCTAGTTTTAATTTGAAATTGTCATAATTGACTTTCTTTTTTAGTTTTTACAACAGTGAATATGATGTCAATTATGCTGCACAGTCTGTAGCGGCAATATGTGCGTTAGCCAATGTTACTGCACAGGCTGTTTGGCTTCAGGCTCAAGATAAATTAGCAAATGAGACGACCGCACCCGTAACAGCCAATTGCACGTTGGTTACCGAATTAATGGAATGCCTCACGACGAATTATTCGTGTCCGTTAACGAATCGGTTTTTTAACAGTATGGTCTAAATTTCGTAGCATACACGCACATGTTAAAATTTGACGGTCAGTTTTTGTAACAAAATAATAATAATAAAATCTCTTTTTGTAGTATCCGGTATAGGACGGATTAGTCATTATTCATCCGTATTTCAGTTTGACACGACGACTTTACTACCATACTTTGCGTACAATTTCCTCGCAAATGCAACGGCAGCGACACGAAGAGGAGTGTGCGATACAACAGCGGATTGCGCTGTAAATATCAATTGTTTTTAAAAGTAACGCTTGTAAAATTTATGTTAACATGTTTGTGAAAACGTACAGGACTCGGAATTATGCATTCAAAGCCAATGTGTCAAGACATTCACTAGATATCATGACGCGTACGGAATGGGATTAGAAATGGATGATCAGGCCAACTTTTTTGTTGCTGATGCTGACAAGCCAACCTGGGTTGAGAGCGTGTACGTATATGATTGGTTTAAAGGTTTATAACTCGAAATGAATATATCATTAATGTTCCACTGACTAATATGTAGGCGAGATCCAGTTGGACTGCGTCTGTTTGACATTTCTTCTACCATATCTCAAGTAATGGAATTGGTTACGGGTATAATAATCACAATAACAAGCATTGTCGCTGTCATATACAGTAAACGATATTTAAAGAAGACATTGAAAGTAACATAATCACAAGATTAATTAATTTATTAACTCTTATCGTTTTATCTAATATTTCGCGAGTGTCATTTCCTAATTAATTAGGAGCTTGTTACTCATGCTGGCCAAAAGTATCTCTTAATAAACATCTTAGGAAGTGTGGTGTAGGAACATGAGGTATAATAATATAAGTTTATATTCATTAAAATATTGGAATAGTCTGTGAATTTCTTGTTGCCGCTTTCAAAATTATTCGCCTGCACACGGTTACTGCGATGGTATACTTTTCGTAGCGTCTTTGTCTATTCTCTTGGTAAAACGAGTCTTCACCTCATTGAGAATTGTCCCTGGTTGGAGCAAATCTCCAGAAGATAAGATCTTTTCTGGAAATTTTTCCTCTCCTTCCAACGAGTGATAATGGTCTTACTGTACAACCTTTTGATAGATGTACCCATATGTTGTAAATTCTTCCGCGCGCGTCTCGATGCTTGTCAGAATCTGCATCACAACAAATTTCGTAATTCGGTCATGCAGTATTATCGCATAGTGAATCTCTATCGAACTGCCAATGCCTATGTGATCGTTCACATCAAATACATAATATCAAACGCATATATGTAATTTCTTCGTAAGCATGGAACAACTTCCGCACTTGGCGTGACTTATAAAAATACAGAGTCGGATTGAAATATCACATGAGTTTGATAATATCAAAGATGACTCACCTCGGAAATAAAAATTCTGACTTTTCGTAACGTTCATATCGTCCCAGAAGAGCATGCTCGTCCAGCGGTAGAGCAACAAAGTAAGATCCTCGAGTTGATATTCTTCAGTGATACAATCTAAATGTTAATGTCCCTGGGTATTCTTTTCTCGCCATTCTCTAATTCGGCAAGTATTTGACGTACGCGTGGTTCTTCCTTCTTCCAACGATCTCGTGCATGGAGAGCTCGGATAAATTCATCATGCAGATCACGTGGTTTGGTATTCAAGACTGATAAACTGTTTAGAAGCAATTGATATTCCTATAATTAATTGTTAACAACCTTCATCTTCACTACCTATCTTTTTTTCTAGCATACTAATTCCCTTTTTACCGAGATAGACGCAAGTAACACTTTTCCGGTGGGAATTTAATAATCATTTCTGTTAAAGAAATGTCCAGTCTACACTGTGGTTATGTTAAACTTCACCTCATGTGGTGGTTCATAGGAACCATTCTAACAGAGATGAGTCTCAAACTTCTCACCAACGTTCGAGCCTTTTTTTTTTCCTGATAAGTAATTGCCGTTGCCATCTGATTGATCAGATTGTCTGAAGGACAATTCAACAGCGAATGGCTCACAAATTATTCGACAAAAAAAGATCTCATTGCCGTTTCCACAACTACATTAGTAGAGCGAATCAAGGGGAAGACTGCTGAGGTAATTCACTGTTGGATTGAGCGAATCAGGGGGGAGACTGCTGGGGCAATTCACCGTTGGATCGATAATGTTTGTAATAATAAAGAAATACGACTTTGAAATCCGAGCGTCTTTCTCTCATGCAATCATTTGATATTCTGTTGCGATTTCCTTCCGATAATAAGTACAGAATTAGCAAAAAAAAGGGCGCGTGGCAAAGTTTGGGATCTTTGTTAATAGTCAATACTATAGCTGTTAATTTTAATAATCGACCATTGCCTTATTCGCTATCCCATAATAACTAACATCCACAGAATGAAGATTATTTGCTATGTTTGAAGACTGAACGTGACTCTTTACTTGGATTTACTATCACACGGTTTAGTAGGTATTTTTTGTTCCTCACTAAATACTATGTGTTAACTTTTCTGTGGACCTTTTGGAATGTATTAATTACTCTAAAGACATTACTTTTCCACTCATTATATTCACTTTAGTTTGATTGCCAAAGAAACTTCTTTGAATTTTTGGAAATTTTTTGAGGACCGTGTCCGATTAATAAGCACACAAGCGGAATTACTAGAATTGCAAATGATCACCTCACTTAGTACTACTGTTTCAAATTGCGCGTAAATTAAATCTCGGGAAAAAAAGCTTATTTGGAGCAAAACGTTTGAGAAAGAGAAAAAAAGCCCTTGAATGTCATTGGTACTACACAAACGAAGGGTGCTTACGATTTGTGGGACAGAGATCTTTTTTTGAATTTAATCGGGGCAATGCAATAGTGGCGAATATATTACTTTTTTAATAAAGTTATATTGTTATGGTAAGTAATCCGTTGGATGGTGGGGAAAAGCAGTTTCATCTCTTATCTAAGGATCAGATAATGCTCGAACCTGTTGCCAAATTTAGAATTTACTTTGTCCATTCTGGGTGGAAATACACAGAGTTGTATTTGTCAGCATTAGCAGAACGGTTATGGGGTAACATGCTTTCCAGTAAAAGTAATGAAACAGTTACTCAAATACAGCATAAAGACAACAAGCTTCATATGATAACGTTAGACAAAAAAAGCCGCCTGATAAAATAAAGTTACAAGCTTGAACCTGTTACTGATAATTGAAAATCTTGACATTATCATTAGTTTGCGTTATTTTGATCAATGATACTGATCTTCATGTGAAATACAAACAATTTCCGTTTTCAACAATACCCGCATGTCTCTTTGATTATCTAACATCAATGTTACACAGCGAGGCTTATTTGAATTGGGCCCTTTGAGAGACGTTAATAGTCACGGAGATCCTACTATTGACCCACGTTGTGAAAAAAAACGTGGTTATATGAGCCTAAAAAATGAAAACGCAATCCCGAATCGTTAAATTATAAAAACGAAGATCAGAAAAAGCATATGAAGAATTACACATCCACCGGTCAAAGAATTTCGTTCTCGTCGCACGAGTGCTACCTTTTTTTCTACGAACGAAATAAACAGTATGGCATCATATCTGACCAATCAGCTTATAATGGAAGAATCTCGATCTTTTGGATTGTTATAAATTAAATGGCTTTTCCGACCTTTGCGAGAATAACTCATCTCATCCGTTCAACAACTACGATTTATTGACGAAATGGTATTACGTTTAGGTAGCGTTGCCCCCAACTTCAAAGCCATCACCACCAAGGGTGAAATCGATTTCCATCAGTATATCGAGGGCTCTTGGGCTATCTTATTTTCGCATCCAGCTGATTTCAGTAAGTAAATGAGAGAGAGATGCGTGTGTGCGTGTGCGTGTGAGATGGATGTCAAAATATAAGATTAAGCGCAACTTTGAAGTAGTATACCCTTCCGTCTGGGATTTTTTGCATGTTCGCTCGTGTTTTCATGTTAGATAACTCACCCACGCTTTCATTTCTAACCCCATCACGTTAATTCTAAACAGCACCTGTATGCACAACCGAGCTTGGTGAAGTTGCTCGCCGTGCTAATGATTTCGCCGAACGTAATGTCAAAGTGATTGGTCTATCAGCCAACGAACTAAAGGATCATGAGAATTGGGTTAAGGATATCGATGAAGTCAACAACGTCCACGTTGATTTCCCTATCATTGCTGATGCCGATAGGAAAGTATCCGCCTTGTATGATATGTTGGATTATCAAGATATCACGAATGTCGACACCAAGGGTATTCCCTTTACGGTCAGAAGCGTGTTCATTATAGATACCAAAAAAGTCATTCGGCTGATCATTACATACCCCGCATCTACCGGTAAGAATATGATCGTCGCTTTTGCTATAAAAAGTGCTTTGCATATTAATAATGTTATATATCGGGCTTGTTAGGTCGTAACTTTGACGAGGTCATTCGTGTTATCGATTCTCTTCAACTTGGTGATAAGCATCGCATTACAACCCCAGCCAATTGGCGTAAGGGTGATGACGTTATTGTCCATCCTGGCGTCACTAACCAAGAAGCAGCTGAACTTTTCCCTGGTTTCAGAACTGTCAAGCCATATTTGCGATTTGCTCCGTCTCCATTCTAATCAATGCATTTAATGAGACTTGTTAATTTATAATATATTTTGAAAATTCTCAAAAAAATATTGTATTAAAAATAAAGATCAATTAAGGTTTATAAGTCGCACATTGTAAATTTAAGTATATGAAACATGCTTGCAATATGAAAGTTAAATCATGTTTCCGCCTAGTCAATATCGCGTCTAAACTATCCTGAAGCGTTTTTCCCTCACCAAATATACATCTGAAATTACGAGTCGTATCAAAGGCCAGCACGCACTGAACGACTTACACTCCCAAAGTATCCGATCAAAGCCTTTTATTTTCTCGAGATTCTACATGATAATTAGCCGAGTCTTAATCTCCTGCTTTTTTGACGATTAATTTATTATTTGGAAAGTTGTCAATTATGTGTATTAAAGTTTCATTTAGAAGTTTAATCGAGCGACTTTTATAATACATACCAATAACTCGTTGTAAGAATACAATGCTTGATTTATAACATTGGTATACCAGTTACATTGCTTAATAATATCTTTTATCTATCACATAATATTCTATTGCATAAATTGGAATCGACATCGGATTTTGCATTGACATACAACAGCTCTACGCATATCCTGTCTGTAAAGCTACTTCAGAAATCGCGTCAAATGTGGTCGTTATTATTATGGGACTTTTTCTTGAAATTATGGGAATTTGCATCAACCAGGAAAAAGTTATAATTTTAAACCATGAAGACAAGAACTACTTCTGTGTCAATAATTAGCTTACATGTTACCTATGACAATTAACCACGCATGCACCGAAAAGCTTCATAATAAGAATGATAATGGTTATAATAGAAACTTTTTAATCGTGGGATACTTCTAGAAGCTAGACGCGGATGGCAGGTGTAATTTGACCACGTGTCCCAGCGAAATTTATGGTCAAAAGTTAGTGGATAGCCGTCTCAATTATAGCGACGCATTCTCCCTCTATGATAATTTTGAGTATGCTATTAATTCCAGCAAAAACTAAAGAGATAGCGGAATGGATTACTATGCAGTCCCTTATGGAAATTTCTTAATTGAATGATTATTGTATAATTAAGTTTTTATCTTCTAAACTAATTTTTACTTTGAACGAAAATACTATTCTTTTTAACACCACATCTACCTTTAGTTTCTTAATAAAGATTGGCTGAATATAGTAAGAAAACTTAAAAGTAGACAAAAAAAATATGAAATTGTATTTACCTAAACAACTAATTTTTTTTGACAAGAGCGCAAAGGATGAACAGACCTTATCATACAATATCCCGGCACTAGCAACAAAAGAAATTGTTGCTGGGAGAGTATTATGCATGACAGCCAAAGAGTTCATCTTCGTATCAGGCGTCTCTTGACCATTCTGTTTCAGCAGGATCGGGAGAATACCCCTTGTGGGCAGTTCTAAGAAGACAATTAACTTGTCGGGAAGAGTTGTTTTTCAAATGTCGTGTAGAGGCGCGCAACGTTAAAATAAATGCGCATGTCATAACGTGAATGACATTCAATATTGGATGTGCCATTTGTAACGAACTAGTAAATGACTCAACATTATACTCAATGATAATGCGTTGAAACCCCCCCCCCCATAGTGTTTATGTAACACGCTCGTTATGATTCGCGCTAACAAACCTACGAGACGTTTTCGCGTCATCAAAACTTGACTGTTATGCACAATTTGTCTCTACAATTATCACGTGATAATGGAATATTTGCTTTGTGGGGGCTGTATTAGTATCAACAATTAGTCATAGTTCATGTTTCACGTGTTGGTTGTTATGATCTCTGGTTCTATTGGCTGTTACATAGCATATTCTCAGTTTTCGTAACACCAATGCACTCCGTTCCTGCAGATAACTTTGGAATACTTACAACAATGAGTATGCACAGTCATGCTCCTGCGTATAAGTAAAGATGAATTCGTTTCAATCATCGAAAATTCTCATTGGTTTATTTACAAAGAAAGAACTTTTACTCTTCAAATTTTTGTAAAAGCTGACAGCATAAACGAATCTTGCAAGATTTTCAAGGAGAGAATGACGTTTACTCAATTTGCATTTTATTTTATCAATCATTTCCATCTTTCTTTTCCGGTTGTGGCTTTTCGCAAGTCAATATGCAAAGCAAGCCTTGTGTATGGGTATCCACAAGCAGCATGATAATCTGTTCGGCATCAATCAAATACTATTTACGTTCTCTGCCGGTAAACAATTTCATTGTTAAAAGTTTTTTTTCTACATCCAATTGTAAAAAAATGCCACAAATAGAATAACGTTATTTCGCCACAAAAAAAAAGCTTCATTACCAACAGTGCATTGGAAATCCGGTTACAAGCATCGCACGACAGCCAAATAACCTTCAATAAAATACTTGATTTGGTTTTTTTCATGTATAATCAGGCGTGTCTGAAAAAACCAAGTTTATTCAGTCAAATATATCTACATACAGAATTACACTCGTTTACGAAATCTGTTGACAGGTTCGGTCAAACAATAAGCATATTCGAGTGTCTTTCCTTCAACTCGCTTACAATCTTTCTGGTACTCTTTGACGATTATCGCAGTCCGATTACCGTCACTGTTGGTCATTGAACTCGCAACTATCTGGAGAAATCGGAGTCGGAGCTTGAGCTGTATATGCGTATGAGTAATCCAGTATCGATTCTTGAGAATGAAGGTCACGATCATCAATCGCGTTAACTGGTAATCCAGTATTATGAAGTTGCCTGCTTTGAAGACCAGTAGGAGACAAGTTTAATTGAGAGAAATCATTTGAGAAATGATGGGGGAGATAGAGAGGGGGCAGGCGATTGATATTGGTGGGTGGATTGTCGGGATGTCTGATTGAGAATGTGTGAGTGTACCGATTGGATTGGTCGTCCTTATTAGAACCGTGTGTTGATGTATGGGTCAAAATAAAATTCACGCTTTACCAGGACCCCAAACATAACAAATAATCATTGTTAGTACCTCGATTGATTTTCCAATGTGTATTAAACTATCATGATGCCAGTTTATGACAACAAGATCGTCATCATTTTCTAGATGCATGAGGTTCTGAATGTCAGATCGATACAAGACTGCTAATCTGTATATTTCAAATAACCGTAAGTGTATATCCAACAATTAACACAATCACGTGATAGAATAATTCTATAGAACCTGCGTGTCTCTTCTGATTCAAACATCTGTTTAATGTCAGCATCAATTTCATCCTTGGTTCCGGCAAGATCTTGGCATTCTGTCTCAAGATGAGCGTTGCGTTTTTTTAAATCTTCAATTCGTCGCTTGAAATTTGAGCTTGTCGACGGTAAAACTGCGCCTCTTTGTTAAAATAACGTTGCGTTGTTAAGCTGATTATGATATTCACGATAAATAATGTTACAGTCGAATTAATTTTGATGACTTACTTCCAACGCACATGATTTTTAGAATTCTTTTCGATTAATCCAATCCCTTCGAGGACGTTTGTGATATCATAAATGCGTCGCTTCTTGACGTTTAATGCAACGACGGCGCTGTTTAGGTCCAAGACGCCATCTAACGAATTCCTCAACATGCGCACGAACTTTTTTGTTAGTAAAACAAGGGAACTTTTGTAGCGGCATGGACCACGGAGGTCTGTATACAAATAATATTTGATATACAAACAAAAAAAATGCGTCAATTAGTGCCCAGTAACTTTACTGATTGTCGCGTGAAACAATTAAAGATAAAATTATGTGACACAATATATATATGTTTTAACTTTTGATAATACTTTCGTTAATTGTTATTTACCATACGAGTCGAGAGAATGTTTCCTGGAGGAGGGTATTCTCTTACGGATTGAAGGGCATGAACGAGCGCGTGTAAGGGTGTTTTTGGACGTTTTCTGTTTACGGCAGTAGTCGTTACTCATCGTTGGTTGCGGAAAATGATGGATAAAGAGCGAACTGACGAATGCCGTGTCAATATGATGTAATGATAAAAAGGATAGCGGTATTCGAAGCAAGGAAGTAAGGGTGAAGAGAAGTAATCACTGCATTTAAACGTTTCATTCTTTCATGTAACATTTGTCGATCAACGCATCGCTACGACTATGTCGCAGCTCGAACCAATTACAACTCTATAAAAGTCGAACCTGTGCATGCACGGAACGGACCCCATCATAGTAGCGACTGTGTTTGATAATAACACATGAAAATTATGTCCTCGAAAGTTTACGTAATAAAAGAAAAGCTAATATAATTAAAGTTCATATTTTTAGCTTACCAAACAAATAAATTGACAACTATGACGGCTGAGGTCCAGCCCTTATTTTATTTTCACACATTTAATATTGCGATTTTTACCTTGGTTTCATAATTTCTTATATACTTGACGTTAAGTACTGTTTAATTAACTTTTTTCCAGACGTAGACGATAAATCTTTTTATGATGAAAATATATATATATATATATATATAAGCAGATAATTCAAAGTCCTCTAAATCATTGTTTTCTGGGAGATCAACTCCGACGTGATGTCTGCCGCATGCGGGCGATCATTATTTTGCCCAAAAAAATTCCTTTTTTTTTTCACGAAACGTCTACAAGAGTGAACACGAACGAACGTATGCAGTTGGCATTCTTTGTAGAACGTTCCGAATTTAGTAGAGTAGTAAATTGCTAAGCCCCAGGGATTATTTTAGGCCCCGTTACAAACATTAGCTTTTGCTAATACTTTTACTACCGCATTTGCTATACAGACTATATTGTCTACAGTATAGAAACAACATCTGTTCATATTTTACCAATAATCAAAATCACAGATAAATGACGTGTCGAGTTGATTGACATATCCAGCATGCTGTCGACGTTCGATTGGTCGGTATCAGTGGAGTTTTGAAGTCTTTATTTTGCACATAGGCATCCAGTGGTCTTTCATGCCAATAAAGACCTCGAAACACCAGTAGTCTTTCACTTGTATCTGCCTACCCTAGTGTATAATGAATAAAGTGCGTGTTAATAATTGTAACCGACACTTTTGATGTGCTACAGATCAGACTCTGAGTTATCACCCTACAATCTCGGTAAGTCGGCCAATCGGGATTGATCCAATGGCCCGTAGAAACCCAACATATTAATATCAAAAACCACGTGCCTAACAAACCTTTTATAATGTAAACAAAATGGGTGTTGTGACCGAAAATTACTACTTTGACTAATGATTTCACAGCTGTGACTTACAGAGGACTTGTTAAATTACGGGTTTAACTTAATATCATCAAGAATGGGAGTAACATTGAAGTTGGGCCGAGCTGGATATAAATTATAGCATAGCTTATCTTTATACAAAAAATAATAATATAACACTGATCAGCATTAACTTTACCATGAGACCAAAAATTCTAACACGACAAGAAAAAATTTTGCCCTTTATTTTTTAAAAGTAATGATGCCAAATTTTCGAGAAATGTCTTAGATTACTTATAATGAATCTGCTTTGGGGTATTAGTACACAAAATTTCTACCAAAAACCACTTCCCAATGATAATCATCAACAAATTTAGCAAAGTATTAGAAAAATTAATGCAGAAATAAAAGAGGGGGGAAATTTGTTACAATTTTATATTCGTCGATATTTAGGAGAAAAGTGTCACAAGATTTTAAAAAAGAATAAAAGGACTGCATTACAATCTACGATAATTACCATTGTGCATCTGAATTTTAGTGAGCACTATTTTTTTTTTTGCAAAATGGTAAAGGCAATTTAGACCTACAAAAAATGTCAATTCGAGAGGCATTATGGAAGATAAACACTTGCTGAAACACTAACACTAAGAGACCCCGAAGTCTGCTACAAAACAAAAATAAAAACTCCCAAGTTAAGCTAGAACCAACTTAATAAAAGTAAAAAACAAACGTTTGCTGAATAGTTGCTGTAAAGTTGTTGTAAAATACTATTGTATTTTGCCATTAACTAGTCAGAATTAAGAGTTAATTATGTTACTCAGTATTTTTTTAATTTACTATAAAAATTACTCAACTACATTTTTACTGGCTTGGACAAGTAATGTATTTAAATTTATCTCTGACAAATGACAAATATTATAATAAATATTCTTGTCTATTATATTTATTAAAAGTTTATAATCTCAGAAACACGTGCTTTTCTGGTTTTTAATATTAATAAACTAAATTCAGTAAAACCATTATTTATATTTGAGCTTTGACTATTCCAGAATTAACTGCTTTAAAAAATGCCAGTTTTTTGCAAATTATTCATTTTTAAAGAAAATTTCCACCACAGAATTAAAATTTAAGTCACTAGCACCAAAAACTCGATTGCCATAACACTGAACCGTATTTAATCCAGCTGTACTCAATTTTTCACACAATCTACTGTTGTTTTGCAGCATGTACTGTACGCCGTTCCGAAAAAGTTTTCTTATTTTGGCTTTTTATTTTAAGGCATCGGCTGGTAGTTATTTCTCCACCGTTCATTACTTTCAGCTGAGCCATTGAAAATATGTCCTGCTTAGATCTAGAAAGCTTGAACGCTTCACATGATTCAGCAAATTTTCTCTTGAAAATTTTTTTGAAGCCCCTATCTCCGGGAAACGTATACTCAGTTAAACCCTATTTCTCGTATACTAATATAGGTAATCCTATTTTACCCGTCGTCACATGATCATTGATACCAATCACATGGTTATCATTATTATGATAAAGAACACTGCATTAAACAACGATGCTATCAAACTTATTTAAAAAGTGAAATGATCAAGGAACCCCAAAAAAATTAAAGTGATGCATGAACAAGAACTTAGTATTAGTGGAAAATTGATTAAGCACCTATTTCCAGAATGTAAAGCATTTATCTGAGTGTTTATACAATGAAACTAACATTCTGAAGAATCCATTTTGAACATCCCACATCTGTCTGCACTCCAAGGTTATACCTCACAGACATAATCATGACGGAAAGACTAAATTGTTTGCAAACTTGCTTAATATTATGGTACGCGCGTTCTAATCGTATAATTTATGGTACGACTCGTTTAATCGACGTTTAATATACGATTAGCTTACTCGTATAATTTAATTTGTTTTACTGTATGGCTTAACGGCATATAATTTTAGTTTATGGGTATTAGTATGCATTTTAATGGTATAATTAGTACGATTCGGTTTATTAGTATTAGCATTCAGGTCTGAAATTTCTTTAACAAATTTATTAACGATATAATGGTACGATTTTATGGCATGATTTAATTACATACAGTATCTAATAGGGTATGATTTATAATTTATGGTGACCTCTTACAACATATGCTTCGGTAATGCAACACGCATGCCTTATATATAAAATATATTCCTTTTTCGTTCCGTTTTTTTCAATTACTTTGAGTATATCAAAAGACGAGTACCATAGATTGTTTGAGGATTGGGTGTAGGTTACATTACTACTTTAAGGAATGAAAAGGTTTATTTGAACATAAGGATATTTCGCATTACTTTTCAGCCACCCCACATACAGAAGTGAAACAGGAACAGTTCGAGCAAGGAGGAACTTTTTTCAGACTTGTTTCAGTTTTTATTAATAATATTTAATTCCTTATTCGAGATGTTGGGAAAAAACGCCAACCTCAATAGTACGAACTTTGAAGTCTTCCAGTCAATGGCATTGTGAGTGGATGTTTCGAAACCAACAGTTCAACACACTCTATAACTATTAGATGTCCAATGTTTTTCGTGCAAAGGCTATTCTGGAAAAGATTATTGATTCTCAAAACATTGGCTTGAATGATTGTTCTAGAAGAACGAACATTAAAAGACGTCACATTTGATGATTGTTATCTCATGGTTGAATAACGCGCCATATTAATATGAGCTCATGCATCATTGTAATTACGGTTTGTTAAATCGGATAAATTTCTAAACCATACAAGTACGTGTGTATAAGAAAGTATTTAGTTAATAGGCTGGAATTTGAAGCAGTAAATTTGTTATATTGATGTCATCAGCACTTCCAACAGCATCAACTGATGAAACAGAAAATATTAATATTGGGTCATACAGCCTTTTCAGATCGTACTATGGATTACGAGTAGGATAACTAATGTGATGAATTTGACTAGTCATTTTTAATCTTGGCTTTGTTAGTAAAAACTTTCTCTCCAGACAATCATAGTCACGTGTTTTGGCAGAAATTATTTTCATGCACGTGCTGTAATTTTATTATCTCAAAGATTAAGAATATAAATAGAGGGAGAGTGTACACTTTATAGAGAACGTTTAGGAAAGTTACCCGTGCTTGAGAACATGACACCCCGTTTTGGACTTTTTATACGGTATGCGAACCTAACTATCGAAAGTGAACGAGTCACTCACAAAATGAAAAGATCGAATCTGATTAACGAGATTGTTTCTAAATAATGCATAGAGAGGCACTTTGTCAGCACATCAGACTACAGCCCGGTAGAAAATACATCAAGGGGTATGTCATTTTGTATCAGTCCGCCCTTTGTTAAATTCGTAATTATTCTTTATACATGATCTCTCTTGCTCTGTCTTAGCCCAACTACGATCACATTACCTTTCCGATTTTACACTACGAATATCCCCACAAATGATCCATCCACTGATACAAAGAAAAAAGGCTACTTTGCGCGCGCCAAGGAAATGGCGATATTTTATAAGAATGGAATAAAGCAGCTTTTCGCAAATTACAGATTATCCGCTGCTCTGGTACGAAAATTTCGCAAAGAGTTTTCCGATTTGAATCGGAGAGAAATTCAACTGGTGAGAACATCATGTCTGACACGTGCAGTAGAGTCGTGGCTTGCGGACAAGAAGCTGTGTCGCTCGCATACAAAGACCAAGCGTACTAGAATCATTATCCTTTGACGTTTACATCAGATCAGGACAACGCGGAGAGATATGAAACGGTTACTTCCATTTGGTCTGATGTTAATTATCATTCCGGAAGCTATACCGTTTGTCATCTATTTTGCACCGGGGTTGATACCAAGCACGTGTATTCTACCTGCACAATTGGTATGTGTTGGAAGACAATTACCCTTTTTTACTTTGATAAATGTTGGCTGACTATCATTTTTACATAGGAAAAGCGTAGACGGAAAATCCATGAAACTCGACAGGCTATATACGATAAAATGCTTGCAATATCAGATGGTGGGGTATGTCAACTGTTTGTTCGCGTAATAAAAGGTCCAAGTCTTACACACAACTAACGAATGGTCATTTGATTGTAGATAGCCAGAAGAGATTTCCAAGACATATCAAGCGTCGTACGATTGAGTCGTCAGATAGGCGATAAACTATATTTCGCGAAATTTCCCAGGCAGCTCTTGGTTGACTTTTGCAGGTAAAAAAAAGGCAGGAAATAGTCTTTTGTTCTGATAGTTGTTGTTAATAGATTTCAACGTGTTATATATAGGTTTATGGGATTGAGTCGGTTTGGTACAAAGAAGATGCTAAAACGTAGATTAGAGAATCATCTCGATTACCTGTTTGGCGATGACATGGTTTGTCCCTTCTCTCCATGTAGTGATTAGGGCATCCTCTGCAAATATTAATGTTATGATTTCTCAATTTCTAAACAAGCTAATTGCAAAGGAAGGAATAAAAACATTGACACTCGATGAACTTAGGCAAGCAAGTGAGGAACGAGGAATGTAAGTACTTCGCACATCTCTCCATGACTTGTCCTATTATTTGTACTTTGATTCAGTGATATTATTATCGTTTTTGCAGTAAATCTATTGACGTTCCCGATAACCACTTGCGCTTAGCGCTAAAACATTGGATCACATTGCATTTGCATCAGAACCCAGAAATACAGGATGAACTACTACTATTCAGTAGGACACTCTTGTACAATGCAAAATATCAACAACGAAACTCGGACGTAATTGCCACGACCTGAACCTTGTACTCTAATGTTTCCGTAAAGAATTACCAGCAACCCATTAAAATCGAACATTAGTTCTTAAATAAACTCGCCTTTTAGTTCCCCCGAGAAACACAATCTTTAATATATTTTGTTAGATACCGTAATTGTCAAAATACATAGGTCGACACAATAAACGCTCCCGTGATTGACTCAACGAAGTCTTCTCGCTTCTCGTTCCGATTCCAGTAGACATAGTATGTCATTTTCACGGACTGGACCTTTTACGTTGCGGATGATAGAACGGGTTGTATCGTCCATAAATTCGACGCGGACTTGAGTGACACCACCCCGAGAGCCAGTTCGGCCAAGGACTTTAATAACTTTGGCAAGTTTTACGGGTTGTTTGGTGGTATCCTATCAAAAAGTAATTAGCAAGTGTTGATTGAAAGGAAGCCATAAGAGCAGATTATTGCATACCATGCCCTTGCTTTTTTTTCTAACCGAAAGTCAAATGTTTTTTCTGGCAGAAAAATTTTTTGTGGGGTGGTGATTTATGCGGCACAAAACGGCACGTGGGCATGCGCCACAAATGATTGGAATGTATCACATTGGTAATTGGATGTTTAACTAAAATCTATTAGTACAATTATTTGGATGATTAATGCTAACAATAGTATGGTACGAGCGCGCCTCTTGTTACTGGTTTTTTTTTTCCTAAAAAAAAAACGAAAAACGAACATTAGAAACCGTAAGACCCACCGATTTTGCGTGACGTGGAATCATATTTACCAGTCAGAGCAATGATAATGTTATAAAATACAAACTCTGTCTTTTTTAAACCAAGAGCCGGTCAGAGAAGTATGATTAAGCATGCTTAAACAATAATGCGGTACTTGCTTTTTACAGTAACCATACTGGACGTAATTCTTAAACGTTATTACGTTTTATTTAATTCAGACATATTAAATAAATGTTAGAACGCAAGACTATAATCAAATACATTTCTTATAGTTAAACGAAACGTGTCATATTATTTTCGCTGTTTAAAAACAAATCGTATACCTTTAAGCGCGTCATTTATTCACCCTGTGAACGGGACAGAGAAGACTTGATGATTTTATTATATTCAAGGTAGGAAAATCTCATGTTTATGGTTTGCGAATCATTGATTCACAGAATCCAAGAATAATAGAGACTCTATCGTTTGGAAATATCGGGTTTTGATGTTACTCGACATGGCACCGTCACGTTTGGGTTTCCAGAGTAAATTAATTATAATCTTCTGTTATTCATTAATTATCAATATCACCTATGTGCTGGCAAGCCACCTTCCGATTACGGAACAGAACAAGCATTTTACGTCAACCAATTTTGCGCTGGCTTTTGTGTCATCTCTTTTCGTAGTTTCTGTTGCCCAGTTGCTGTGATTCACCACTAATTGCAATACCGACAGAACATTACTCATTCGATCAAACATATGTTTCGAAGAATGCATGGGGTCGGGAAAACACATTGCAAGACGTATAATAGGCATCCGGGTTAAGGCTTTTGTTGGGAAATAGACTATTCATAATGTCAAATTCTATTAAAGGATATCTTCTGGCAGCATGTTGCCTATAGTTTGTAATACTCGTATCACCTGTTCGTCGTTACGACCACGAATGGTTAGAGTTGGAGTGGTCACTTGGGAATCAAGCGGATCGGTTCCGTGTGCGCCAGTACTTGTGCTCGTGCTTGCGCTTGATCGGGAGAGTGTTAGATGACACGAATCATCTGCCGATCTATAACATTGTTCGTCCGCATGTAGCGTCTTTGATAATTAACAAATATTCAGTGTCCGGTAGTTTCCAATACGATAAATAGTAGGCTGGGCAAAGTTTTGTTCACTTACCAGAGATTCGTAAATATTGAAACTCTGTTCAAACAAATATGGCAAAATGGACAAGCTCATTTCGTTACGTTTAGAGTTTTTCACCGTGCAAATATCGACGTTGAGCACAGACGGGTATCTTAGTTCATCGTCTAAGAGGTTCATTAGTGTCCTGCATTGAGAATAAATCGCTCAAAATATTCGATATTACATACTTACGACAAAGCGAAGCCGCAGTAAACTTTAGATCTTCAACCAAGATCCATTTCCAGTGCTGCTCACTACTCAGATCCTCAATACTCTTAAACAAGATTCCCAGTCCAAAGTCACAATTGCTGACTATGGCATCTAGCGATAAATCAATTACTGATGACAAGGTTACAACTTCGCCCGGCGCCAACGACAATATGCAGTGTGATCGCGATTTGATAATCGACGTGAGCACTATTCCAACATAACTTATATGTGGGATCAAATAGAGAGAAGATACATCTTTGCTAAAAGTATGGTTGTGAAACAATAGAGTAAATATAGAGAAAGCATGAACTTTCATATAAATGTTGAAAGTACCTGCTGGAATTTCTAACTGTTATTTCAAAGACGAGCTGTCCTGCTGTCATTGTTTCTGAAGATGACACCTTGGCTTCAATAACCTCAATCAGTGGATCTGCGACGCAGTCAGATTGAGTCTGGCACGATTCTGTCTGCATAGCAATGTCGTAAGCTTTATTTGTTGATATTAAGGGGAATAATCCAAGTTGGACGTGACTCGAATATTTTAATCCTTTTCTTCGAACTTGTAATTTCTGGGAGTAATTCTGTACAAAGAAGGAAGCCATAGATGCCAAGATTTCTTCACACGTCAATATGATGTCTATTTTTCTCTGAATCTTCGCGTCCAAAACGATATAGATCGCGTTAGCTTGCAATCGCGGACAAATTAAGCTTGTTGCAAAATATTCGATAGTGCACCATAAGCTGTAATCTTCTGATTTTCGCTTCACCCTCGTATACTCGCGTCTTGAGGGAATCCAAGACAGATCTCAAGTGGGTAATATCGGTTTCTTCAACTTCTGCTTAAACAATGACAATTAGGCAAAGTTTATAATAACCTGACTCTGGCAACTCCATTGTAAAAAAAACCACCTGTATCAGATATAGCCGAAGCCTTGTTGTCAATAAACTCGTGTATAGATGAAATTGATGTCCATGATGACGGATATAGACTGTCTGCGCGAGACGTTGACATGACAACGATTTCATCGTATCCAGAAGATGCGGATGTAACAGCTAGCTGCACGTTCTCAAGAAACCCTGTGTCGAGATCAATGACGAATATTAACTTTTACGCGAGACACGACGGAGAGATGGAGACTCAACAAAAGATGCGTACCTTTCTGTCGCTCGCCGCTTTCCGAATCCATTAATACATATTTGCCATCCTGCAATTTAACTATTAATGCAGATACGCTTGCTCCACAGGCGTTTGTTAAATGTACTTCTTTCCTAAACAAGTCAAAGACACTCTGTCAATTAACCCCATCACTTGTGTAAAAACCGAGTTATTTGCCGAATCGCGTAATACATACAGCCATATTGGCATAGCAGGAAAATCATGACACCAAAGAGTATTAACAACATTCAGAAAAGTTTGTTCTCTTGTAGCAAGACGCAAGCATACGACCTGTCCGCGCGTTGACGCAATCCAGACCAAGGCATCCATTCCTCCCAATCCCAGAGAAACCACAATATGCGTTGCATTCCTCGAAAAAGTCCCGGGAATCCTGCTTAGATGCATTACATCGTCTGCCGATACTTCGTCGATAAAAGATACTGTTTTCACGCAGGAATCATTCAACGGGCAATAAACCAAATAGATACCCTTGTGATGAGAATCGCAATTGATGTCGCCGTCCGCGGGAGATTGTTGGCTTGTCCAGACTCCGTGGACTGAATGTGCGCAAAGAGATTTTGTCAATATGTAATCTCCGTTGGGATACCAGAGTATAGCAAAGTAATTATTTTCGTCAAAGAGATCATAGATCATGGATGAAGAAATCGTGGAATCGTAATAAACGAACGAGACGGTCGGTCCATCCATGATGATTGCATCTGCGAGAACGAGGTTTCATTAGTTCAAATGCTGATGGTGTGGTGCTATTTGAAACAACGTGGTGTGCTTACCATGTAACACGCCTCCATGCGTCTCATTCTGTAATGTGATTTCCCAATGATGGGGATTGTACCCGAGACGATATAGACAGAATTTAGTATTCGACGAGTCACATATCAAGGCAAAGACGGCCAGACTAAGCCACGTAGTAACAAAGAGTCAGCATGATTCGTCTTTTTGTAAACTGTTAAGCAAAGCCTGACATTACACTCCCAAGTTTGTATCCGTAACGACAGAAATACCAAAAACCTTTGGACATTCAAGATCTTATGTATAATGTGTATAAATTAGTTACGAGCGCCTTGTTCGTTTAAAATTTGCGCTCCACCGAGTTAAAATGAATACTTACTTTCTAGTCTCTGGCTAAATATATTGCCTTCACTTATCCACTGGTTCTTTTGTTCTGATTTGTAATAAATAACTTTCAAGCACTTTTCATCGTCAACATACACTTGAAACATGTAAGAATTGAGATATGCATATTGACATGGAAGTTGAATGTCTTGGGACCAACGACGGCTATTGAATGGATAGAACATGACGCGTAAAAAAAACCGTTTGGTCATTGATCGGGATCCTTTTGACACAAGAAATGTCCAGCTGACGTCACAACATGCATCACTATTATCGAGAAACGGTTCTTGGTTTTAGTATGTGCCGTGCCGCATAACCAACCAGTCGACGCTTGAACTATCTCTCAAATTTGTAGTTTGATCATTGCATGAACAATGGCATCGGATGTTTGCCTATTCTCTATGCTATTGTTGTGGGTCTGCAGTGGTGTCACGAATATAATGTAATAATAGCAATATATGACTCGTCTTGCATCATTTCGCGCCGTGTGACACGCAGTCTTTATTTACTATTACTTAATGACCTACCCACAAGAAATGTGTAAAGGCAATTTTCATACCAACCGAATGATTTCCAGGATCATACAAACTGCTTTGAGCATTCTCTATCTGCATGTCACAAAGTTGTTAAACAGAATTGCTGTTACACGTATCTCGCGAATGGATTTCTATTAGAGTGACGTAAATATTTAAACGTTATTATTGCAGTTTAGTGGCAGCAGCAGAAGCAGTAGCAAACAATGTAAATAAATATAAACGCTATCAATACTATTACTCGTATGTGTAATCTATTATGTAGCTGGCCACTTACTATACTAGCCATTAATACAATACATTTTAAAGGCAGACGTTTCGATTCTCTTATTTTTTTTTTGCTAAAACATAAAACCCCTGAAAGACAGCGTGGTCATTTGCCCAGGTCATGTTCCTCACATTAATATGATAACGAATACGATTTCATATGACACTCACGTGTCTAACGAATACGGATTTACAACACCCATTCGTCACATTCACAACAGACCTGTGAAGTGTAAGATGAGAGGAATATCCCGGGGCGATTATTACACAAATCTCTTGATGAAGCGAAGAAATAAATTATAATACGTCACATGGCCATACAATACGTTTCTTAATTCTTTTTTCGCTGATTAAGGTTTGGACGTGGTTAGATGGGTTTTTGTTTGACATTTAATTTAGTGAAATGCCTAAACTGTTTTAATTCTAGCGAGGAAACAAAACCAACTCTTAATCAAGAACTGTTACCATTGACAATCATGTTTCAAAAAATTTATTTTCAAAATTCCAGTGTGTTTTCCGTTACCGCTTTTTTGCTTACTAATGTCTCACTCTTTGTCCTATGGCTGATGGTTGTGATTATTTTCGGGAAATCACGTCATGTGAAAGAAATTTTTTAGAATTTTGTGGAGAAAATAGGGTTAATTTGTAAAGATACGCATCGAACGTGCAGACATTGCATCAATTGCGCAAAACTCTAGCTATTTATGACGGAACAATTAGTAAATCACGCCTGTTATCATTATAATAATGAATCAAACTTGAGCACAAGCTCAAACACGCACACACCGCACAGAGAGTGTGAGAGTGAGTTAGAGAGAGTGAGAGAGAGAGTGAGTGAGAGAGTGAGTGAGTGAGTGTGAGTGAGAGTGACTCAGAGTTAGAGACAAGTGTCCAACTATAGTTCAAGTGTCCCCCCCTCCTCTCCTACGTTTCGGATCTGACGATTATTAATTACCCTTATGCGAACTAGGCATTGTGCAAGCTAAAATTTACCGATGCTAGTAATAATCATCAAAGTCAATTAAATAAATGTTGATCTTGCTAGTCGATGCATCGTGATTGGGTAAAGCGCCCATGGTTTTTGACTGTGACATATGAGACAGAGAATAATGGAGCTTTTGATGTTTACAAACTTGGCATTGGTATCACCAATGAAACAATAAGCGATGACGGCACGCCGCTTTGATTATAACTGTATTACTACTCGAACGGAAAGAGATTACTAAATTATGATAAGGATGGTTATGCCATGCACGTAATGTTAAACACCCCCCATATTATGTCATGTTCCCTGGTGAGTTGAAAAGACTGATATTGACGTATAAAGTAGGAATCGACTCGACAGGACTAACTAGCTTGGTGATGAGCAAAAGGCAGTTATCAAAAAAAACGGACATCTTTCTTTTCTAGTAAATCGGGTAAACTTTTTCGACATGTATAGTATGCGTCGCCATACACAGATTTACTATTTAAAAAATGACTGTAGAGTTTCCAGTCATATCCGACGTTGCCTTGCATTACAGTTCGGCTGACACGCGCAGTTTTCCAGATAGAGAGTCTTTCAGCAGATTATTTCCCATAAATCTACAGCTAGGCTCGTTACTTGTGTTTATCAGTTGCGTCATCAGCCGCATTGTTATATCACTTGTGTGATCAATTCGGGGGTGAGCTATTATTAATAATGTTATCGTTTTTTTTACATCACTTAACCCTTATGTGCATTTGATATCAACAAAATTCCGAGGATCTTGTCATTGTTCGATAATTTGACTTGATCCCATATGAAAATCAATATGTGTTTATAGCAGCGCCTCATTGGTGCCACACTCACTACACTTATTACGCTCACTCCTAAACACAGCTGACTTGTGGCCCATGCGTAGTATTGGACCGATGATATCGTTATCAGCTGAGTAATGAGATTATGCATAAAAAATAATGTGAAGAGATTATTTACGTCTTTCCCTCGTGCTGTACAGACGTTTTGGGGGGGGAGAGAAAAAGGGAGTAAGGGAGGGAGGAAGGGAGTGAGGAATGTGCTTGCTGCTGTTGTTGTTGTTGCTGTTGTTGTTGTTGCTGTTGTTGTTGTTGCTGTTGTTGTTGTTGCTGTTGATGTTACTTTGCTGTTGATGTTACTTTGCTGCTGATGTTACTTTGCTGCTGATTTTGCTGTTGATGTTGATGTTGATGTTGATGTTGATGTTACTGTCGCTGTTGCCATCCCCGTTTTCATCTCCTGGCAAATGTAAAACTTGTTGCATGAACAATCGCCAAGCAAACCATTTCACACATAAACTCGTATTGGCATTGTTCGTTGGAACAAACCGGTTCTCATGTCAAATGGCCCTCGGCTGGCTGTTGTACTGTGTTTGTGAAGGCGTAGAAATGCACCCGGAGCAACAGTGGCGGGAATAGCACACAATAGCAATGGAATAATGTACATGAGCATTTAGTTGCCAATAGTTTACATGTATATATTATTAATGTATTGTGTTGCACTGTATAATTATTATTCGGTTATTTAATCCCACACATATGATAAAATAGTTTATCTATTAATTTATCCTTACATCACATTAAATATACATATCGTTGCATATTTTATTCAAATCACATGTTGATTAATTAGAGCTAAATATGGGGATTAAGTTGTGTTTGTATATTTTATACACTACGCCAGTATTCATAGGCATATGATTTTCATCATGGAGACACCCAACCCTGACACTCACACTCTGCCGTCCATCCTCCCCCCTTAATTCACCACCAGCATATAATCCCCACCATCGCCCTCCGATAACTGTATTCTTTCCACAACTACTCTAATAATTTATCCATCTCGGAATTAGTCAATAATAATTAATACCATTGTGCGCAAACTATATATAAATCTGCCTTTCCTCCACACGCACTTCCTCCTCACGCTCATATAGTACCGGAAGAGACATCCATATAATACATCAATCTAATAGTACACCAAAAAATACAAAACGAAAATGTCAGGTAACGTTGTCGGAATCAAACAGAAACAAGAAACAAGAAACAACATTACGCGCAGTTTACACACATGTCATGCAACGATTAACATTATAATCCTTTATTTCGATTCATCACATCAACAGACCGCAAGACAAACGGAACAAACGGCCACGAAATCGAATACGTCGAATCCGAAGAAACTTATGAAACAAAATCGGAATTCTTAGGAAAACTGTTTACATATTCCGTCGTAAAAGACACTTACAGTTTTGTCAACAACAATAAAATCGGCAATGCCGCTATTAACGCAGTAAGCACCGTGGGTAAAATAACAACAGCTCCGGTTGTGTCCAGATTCCCAGAAATATCCAGAAATGTTGATCATTTTGCTGCCGAGGGTGTAGCTTTAGTAGGTGACGTCTTTCCCGCATCTGCCGGAGAAATCATTACCGGAGTCACCACTCCCGCCAAACAAACCATTTCCAACATTCAATCAACGATCGACACAAAGGTCACTACTCCCATCAACCATCAAGCACGAAAGATTGCGTCTCAAGTATGTGAGCAAATCTCCCCTATCGCACGAAACGTTGATAAAAGTCTAGAACCAATCATCAACAAATACGGTGGACTTGTCAATTCGTGGCTTCCCGCAGAAGAAAGCGAAACCGAAGACGAAAAGAACGATTCATACCAAACCTACAGAGCTTACTCTTTGACAAGCAAGGCTCAGCGTAGACTCTCGAAACGACTCAAGCGTCAAATCTCCAACACTCAGACGTTCACCGCTTCGCAATTGCGTCAACTTCAAGAATCCAACATCCTTCTCCGACAAGCTACCGATTCAGTCGCTACCCTCAATAGTAAATTAAACGAACTCGTTGTAACCGCCAGGTCGAACGCGGTATCTCTCAGAGACACTGTACAGAGCCAAGACTTAGGCACTACCTTGCAAGGCCTCTCGAAGAACCTTCTTGCTACTACCGACTCGATCGCCAAGTACATCAAAGAGAACACGGGTCAACTCCCAGAATATGTTCAAGATTCCCTTGCCCCGATGGTCACCTTTTTCAATGGTTTTTACGGCGATGTCATGAAGGAGATCCGCAAGGATGACGCCAATGCTTTACAAAAGGCCAAGGATATTGTCAATGTAACGTCACAACACACTCTCCCCGTTCTTCAGCGATCACTCGCTGACCTGTCGGCTTCCTTGGAAGGTTATCGTACTACATTCAATGGTACTATTGCTAGCACCACCGAGGCGGCAAGAGGATATCTCGCTTCCAAACCTGTTGGAGTTAACTAATTTCAATTCGATTTTATTAATTATAGGGAGTATTTCATTATAGTTATAGCATCTTTATTACAGGTTTCTTTTTTTTTTTTTGGAACGAGACACTTTAATGTTGGATATATTTTTTCTTTTTTCTTATCCTTTTTAGCTATGGTTTTTCAGTTTGCTTGCTCTATTTAGTATTAAGGAAATTTTTTTTCGTTCTTTTTTTAACCTTCTTCATTCATTTTGACCTTTTCTTTTATATACATTTTACTAACATTCCCTTTACCAAAAAGAAAAGAATTAGTGTGAGCGTACAAGTTTGTTGACTTGTAAATACGTAGTAACATTTGTATGAATTTAATGTTATTTTAAGTAAAAAAGTCATTATCAATTTGACAGAAAATGTGTCTTGTTAAAGTCTTTTTGAAAATACGACTACGACATTAGATAAATACCAAATACATTCAGATAGCAAGAACTACATTAGATAGCAACAACTACATTAGATAGCAACAAATACATTAGATAACAACAAATACATTCAAATAACTACATTCAAATAAGTACTACATTCAAATTCGCTCTTTCCTTTCCGTGAGTCCCCATTTCGCCTTGGTTTCTGGTTTTACGATTGACACATGATCCACAGAGATTAGCCCTCATAAAAGGCAATAAAACAATGGTATTGATAAAGGGGAAAAGCCCGAAAGTGCTTGGCAAAAAGCAGACTTTAAAACAGTGGGTTGGTGCGATAAACAGCAAGTAGATTGTAGAAATCATATGCAACACGGAAAGACCAATGTAGACAAAAGAGCTTTTGAAAAAACGTGTTTCTCCTTTAACAAAACCGCCTTGCACATGACAAAAAACATAATAGCAAATCCGTCTTTCATACTGATGACCATTCAACTGATATAACTGATATTTAATCGCAAATTGTTGTATAATACGCGCGTGTGTGATGGGATAATAGACTCTCATATTAACAAAGCGGGACAGGGGCGCATAGAAACCATATGCAGGATGCCTTTTCTTTAAAGAACGCCCTTCCTCTTGTTACATCATGACTCGACAGATTTTTCCAGCCCGCGCTAAAGCATCAGATATCGATTTCTGGTTAGAATTTAGCAATGTGACCAGAATTGGTTTACTAAATTGGGAATGACATGAAATTTTTTGGGGAAGAGGGGGGCGTATGTCAAAAAAATTTGTATCATTTTACTTTTTGATCTACACTCTGTATGCATTCTCACGATCATGACGCAAATAAAGACTAAACAAGCTGTAAATAGCCCGATTTAAGACTAGAAATTCTGACCCCTGAAAAACTTTGAATTAAGTGTATTAATGTTTCCATTTCGGGTTACTGCTTTCTGTATGGAAAGGTAATAAACGTTCCATTCTTTTGATTTTTGTTATTGTTAAATGAACTTGTATCTGCTTCATTTGTCAGGGTTTGTCTTTCGTGTTTATGCGCCATTAATAATAATAACAGGCTTTGTGAATAAAGTTACACCAATTGAGAGCAATAAAATAATAGTTACAATACCTTCGTTATATTAAGTCATTGGTCTAGATCGAACTGATCGATAAACATACAATCCCAAATAGGTAATTGGCAAGTATGATACAAAACCACATTTGTGCTCATTGGTCAGTCAAACATTATCACATCGGGAAATTTAGACTGATTTTCACATGTATTAAACAAACTGACTGGTAGCAATTTTCGCTTATTGTTGTAAACTGAAACATAAATTGTATCTGTGCACACGCCATATTCGGATAACAAGACAAATGGGCGGTTTAGTAATAACAGTAATGATACCTGTCAGAATCCAGTTGGTAACAAGGAAAAGAATAGAAGAGGAGAGAGGAGATTACCTTATACTTTGCATTATCAACAATGCATTCAGGAACAGGAGACTCGAAACTACCCAGTCAGCGATGAGGGGCAAAAAAAAGGACCGTTCTTTCACTCATGATTTTTGTTTATAATCGTACACAAATAATGTGATAAATGACTGGATTCCGAATATAGAATAGACAATAATACATTCACGTAACGGTTTGCGCTAGTTCGTTTGGCATATGCATGTAAGCTCAATCATTTATTGTGTTTCTCACGGCAAAAAAAAATTGTGAATAAAGTTCAAACATTGCGCACTTTAGTGCCACAATTGGATGTAAAAAAAAAGTAATCCGACTAGATCGCTTGGAAACAATTAACGCACGTTTCAAAAGGAAGAAAGTTTTTCAACTTTGTGAAAATCAAACGGGCTTGATTAAAATCATGTGGGGGAAAGGGCTGTTCGACTACGTGCTGAAGGAACTTGTGGAGAAACCAAAATATTTCTTGTGTATGTCTACAGATTATTAAACGAGTAGAATTATATGCTTATAATGTCAGAAATGGATAAACGGCAGAAGAAAGGCCCATTGATTATTATTACTATTACTGTTAAAGTGCTTTCACATAAAATAGAAATGAATGGGTTCCGGATAAGGCTCAGTTGTTGTCTTCATCTGTAAAGGATCCGCGCATTTAATATGTTCTTTTCCGGAACCACATAGCTTGAAGGAAACAACCAAGTGTATTTTCGCGATCTGACTAACAGTCGAACATTTGACCTCCGAGTTTACTACTTTAATGTAACAATTGTTGATCTCGCCATATGCAAAATGCAACCTTATCAATGAAAAGGATTTTGTTACACAGATTGAGGCTATGGGGTGCACAATATTTATTTTTGATGTCTCGCTTCACATGGGAGAGATTTTGTTCGCTTTATCAGTCGCCGAATATGTGTAATAAGAGAAAGGGAAAGGGAAGGTAGGGAGAAAGAGTGAGGGAGCGGAGGAGGAGAAGGAGCGAACCATAGGATATTATCGAGACATATGTTGGCAAAAAGGCTTTGTCGTACTGGATAGACTTTGGCATCAACGAATTCGAAATATACGTTCCCAGGCACCCGTTAAAATGCGAGTCCGTTCCACCATGAGTCTGCAGTGTTATATGATAATTGATCCACAATACTCGATTTGGAATTGTGGCTAAAGTTTGAATTTGACAAGTAACCAGACTCGTGGATACGCCTCGCACTCTTCCCTTCTCTTTTATTGTACAAAAAACATAAAAGTTTACACCTGCCAAGAAATGTGCAGATTACTCAGTTTAGGCAGTGTAACCCATGGTTAAGGTTAGTAGTATGACAAATGTTGGAAGAGAAGTACCACACTCCACACATATGATTACCAGCGATAATCTTATTATCCGTAGTTGGGAGGGGGGAAAAGACAAATGAGGTATGTTTGTTGAGGCGCCTCGACTTGCGTTTTTGCAAAGTGACATTCTTAATCTCCGGGTGTAGACAAAAAAAAATTTTTTTTTGCTTGAGACTTACGCGGCATTTTCCCTCAAGTCTTTGGATTTCCATGTATCGCGCGCATTCGTCTTGATTGATGCGGTTTACATACAGTACGCGTAAAAGCTGCTGTAAAGACCGTCTCCCTGGCTTATCGTTAATGTGTATCATATTCTTTCCTATTAAGTCACTGACATCTTCATAGCAAAATATCTGGGGGAAAAAAAAAAATTTTTTCTGAACCCTGCTTGTTATTGTGACGCGAACTGCCTTTTGCATGTCCCATTAGGAAGAATATGCAGTAGTGATTTTTATACGTGAATTACTCGAGTGACGTTTGTGACGTTATCAAATAATTTACGCACAACCGTTGGACAGAGACCTTTTTGTCGATAAGTGTACGGTTATGTTATAGTCTCCACGTGTTTATCATGGAATTGCATTTAATAAAAAATTTTTATTGTGAACAGTAAACCCCCATTTAACGCATGACATCTATATTTGCTCATATTTTACGTGAACACGCCTTTAACAAACTAATTTGGTTGGCGAACCCCACGTTTTGCATGATGCCCATCAGCATACAAATCAGTGCCTACTAACGATCGAAATGTGTCAATTAAACGACTGTCCACAAAATAATGAGAACAATAGGATGCAAATATTTGCTTTGCTCACATAGCCACTATGACATAGAGGGAAGCGAAAGTCTGAAGCTGTCAATAAAAAAAATTTTTTTTTTGAGTAATTATGTAAAAGCTTTGTATCAATTAATTGATGTAGCATGCATTACTCAGTCCAATATACAATAATCTAAATATTAATAAGAGCGTTGGCGCAATACACGATAACCGTATAAATCATGTGACAATCTAGATAATATCAATCTTTAAGATTATTATGAATGAAATTTTTTCAAATATCAAATATACATAAATTACCTAAAACGAAAAAAATGAAGGGGCTCGAAATTTTCAATCAACAGCTGCTGCTGCAATGCAACACTAAAGAAAAAGTATTTGCCGACCAACAAGATTGTATTAGACGCGTGACAGAAATTGTTACAAGAAAACAAGATAATTTGCACAATGATATAATAAGTTTGATAACAAAAAAAAGTATTCTCTTTTTAAATGGCTTGCTGAGCGAAATTCAGTCGTTGTGAAGTTTATTAAAATTATTAACATAGAGAAAAAAACTTTTCAGGTGCGCCGCAGCGGTGCTATATACTGATCAAGACACTTAAAGCTAAGAAAATGTCACTAGGCGTTTCCAATAACGCATGAAAAAGCAAGCCAAACTTTTATTTATTATTAACTGTTCGATACCCCTTCTAGGTGATTTCCAACGATCACGTTTTCAAAGTCATGCACACTTCAATATTAATATGCTATTAAAGTGTTCTATTGTATCCAGTTTTTTTAATTGGCCGTAGCTCACTATATGTGGCAATAGCTTTTAATTATAACATTAGATTGCATCAAGAGATAGTCTAAAATTCCGAATGCTAGTTTGACTGAATACAAATACTAATAAGGGAAAATTTTGACCAATCGTTCGCCAGTACCAAAATTTTAATAAACTTATAATTGTATTCGGATAAAGATACTGTCGCATGTCAAGTTTCTTGATCTTTGACATTGAATGATTTACATAGTTTCAGATTTCTGACATGATCGGTTTGACTGGGCAAGGAAATCACCGAAACTTCTCCAATTTCACAATCAGCATACTTACTCAAACGTACTGGCGTTTAATACTAATTGAAGAAGATCGATCCCCGAACTTTGATGCCAAGGACAAAAACAATCACGGTAATATGATTTGATTTGTTAATGTGAAAATATGCTATGTACCCAAAGTTTATATAGAATGATACATTCATATCATTAGTTCCAACCTTGATTTTTTTAAAAAGGTTTATTACAAAGTCCGTTATATTTTGGTAAATTGACATGTACTTTTTTATTAGCATCCGTTTAAGTTTTATCGAAAAAATTATTAACAAACTCGGCGTATCAAGACAATTTATTAGCGTCGGATTTGCTCTATGGAAAACACTGTACTAACGATGTCTGTTGTATCGAGTTTCACTGGTGAAGAGTTGTGTTAGGTGATGGACCATCTCCATCTTCGATTAACGACCCAGATGGCTTGATAATCATGCGCTATGTTGGGAATAAAAAAAGCGACTTTAGATCGCGTCTCCCAATATCCACTAAAGAAGGACGATCGACCAGTATGTACGACGTAACAAAACCAACGTCAAAAACGTCTACTTGCCCAATACTAAAGGATCGAACTAAGATTTTGCCTTGTATTAAGCCTCCTCTGGTTTAAAATATTACGATGCAAAATTTTATGCAGAAAGACATTCCAGAGATTAAAATTTTGATGGATAATAAATGGCACCTAAGCATATGAGTTGTCTTGTTTCAGGAAAACCTGAAGTTATTGTTGGCCTTCTAATAGCCTGACATTAATCCTCTAGTGCCGGAAGACACGTCGAAAAACGCGTGCCAAAAAACTGTAATAAATTGGCTGATTTTACGGAAGAAGAGTAGAATATGATTCCAAAAACCACGTTAATTTAGTTCAATGAGAGATAGATGTAGACTTATATTAGAGGAAAATGGGGAACAAGTTCCATATTAAATTTTTGTAATACATAGACATTGTCGTAAAATATCAGTACATAGTCGTAGGCTGGCAGCCTTTTATTTTATTATCAACGACTACGTGTCACATTAATGTATATGATTATAAAAAACGTCTGGTAAGTGTGTCCAACATGAACTCGATACAGAAATTCATGTCACGCTTAATAATGGCTGGTGACAATCATTTTTATTATACTGTAGATTATATCAAATTTGAATAGTTGGAGTTGATATATGCTTGTTTGTTAGCCTTTTCCTGGTTTCTTTCTTTAGTTACTTAACTTTGCCAATTTATATTTCCTTAAACTGCCTTTGTTGGTTCTTCATTTTTGATTTTCTGAAAGCGTGAGTTTGTGGCGAATCCCAGTAGTCAGCAGAAGTGACAAAATATCAACTTGGCGTGGATTACAAAATCCGCAAAAACTTCACTAACTGTAACACAATAATTTCAGTTCAGAGAGTTATAATGTCGGTTAATATTAAGTAACCCTCGTTGTGGTAACCGATTTTAAAAAGTTCTACAGTAGCGCGTCAAAAAAATGTCATGTCGCTTATTATGAAGAATTTCAAGTACAAAATCGTCCAGATAGTTTTGCCTCTAACGAACATTTTGTAGTTACAGTTTGTGACATTGTATTTGGTCTCAAATATGCGCGTTTAATGTCCGCGACTTTATCCTCCCTAAATACAAAAAAACGCGACTCAATATTGTTGCCCTCGACAGACAGACGGACTTAATTTTATTTAACTTGTGTTGGCCACAATACACAATACGTAAAAGGTGTTAGCAATAAGGATAGGAAACAAAATCAAGTTATCAATACTTACGACGAGAAACATTGAGAATAAGCAGACAATGATGCCCGGGTAAAAGAAATCGTAACCTGTGTTAATCTACAAACTGTTCATTACAAATCATTCAGTTTCGCTCGCTTGCTCGAACTAGTTCCCACATCAGTCGTTGGTGAAAAAGAATTTATTCCTGCATCCTGTTCGTCCGCATTGTCTCCATTATTACTTTTCCGGTCTCGCATTTCATATACTTTACGAAGTTGCCCGGTTCGGTATAGATCGGAAAGTTTATCCGCTAATATAAGTGATTATAAATGTTTAAATCAATAATTTTGCATAATTCTGCATAACTTGATCCGAAAAATATGATTACCAAATGCTGATCCCTTCTCATTTACGTCCTTAATAAGACTGTGGTCTCTGGGTGTCTTTTCATACTTTGGTCATCGAACATGACAAGATACGTTAAAAAATTTGACGTTACGTAGAAATTTCCGAAAAAAAAAAAGCACAATCCAAATACCTGGTTATCTTCTGTTCGTAAAAACAATATCATCAATGGCGATTCGTCTCCTTCTCCACGCGCTGTTGAAATCCAAATATTTCCGCAAAGATCATATACTATGTCGAGCGGGTCGATGTCCAAAAGTAGAGTTTGCTTATACCGAAGTTGGCGCATTTCGTCATCCCAATCGAGTATAACTACACCGGGATACCTTCGATATATCCGATCGAGTAAGCGGTTGCATTTCAAAAGTCAGAGAGCTTCGGTTGAACAGAACTCCTTACTTTTCAATTACAATTGCAATATGTCGCGAAAGAGAGCTACTTGCAATGGACATGATAGTAAAATCGGACTCGGCGCTAACTTCTTTGGTCGATGGAGACAATAAATGCTTTATATCCAAACATTGCACAAGTCTTCCTTTAGCGTAGTCCCATAGAGCCACGTAATCGTCTCCTCCCGCCGACATCATCAAATCGGTAGCCCACGGAATTATGTGTAGTTTAGCAACAAACCTATGCATAAACAAAAGGGTTATTGCTTAACAAGTCGGGATAAACATATTAAAGCAAGACCGATATCTTACTGAGTATGACCCAAACAAAAGGTCTCGATGATATAAGCTTTCGGGTAGCGGCTAACACGTATATGTTCGTCGCGGTCGGCTGTTATTACGTACTTGTTATCGGGAGATAAAACCTTGTAAACGAGCAATCATGTCAATGAGTGACCAAATGATATTAATGAATGAGATCAATAGAATAGTCTCACGAACCATATCGGTTACCATGGACACATGGCCCAGAATTGGTTTTATCGGATTTTGTTCTTCTGTTGAGACGTCGATGGGAAAGCTAATGGTGAATTAAACATAAACAATACAACTGGGGTGGATAGGCAACTTGGGCAAAAATCGACAGGAAAGAAATAGAAATAAATTGCGTACCGATAGACATCACCGGTATTGTCGGCAGTAGCTATACCCGAACAATTCTTTTCAAAGGCAATGGATATTATCCGCTTTGAAACCGTTCTTTTTAACAAGCCAGTTATGTTCACGTTTAGGGACAAAATATCCCCATTGCATTTTGTAAATACTCGTCAATCATACCTTTCGCTTCGTAGAGCCCAACCTTCGATATTCCAGATATTCAGTGTCTTATTGTCACTGCTGGTTGCTAGCAAGTTTCCATTGTCTTGAAATGCTATTTGCTTTATGAACGGCTGGTTTTGATTCGACTCTGTATTCTGAGTAGTTGTCAAATGCGTCTTCGTTGCTAACAGGGCGCCAGTGCTTGGAATGTTATCCAAGAGTTAGCTAGTCTTTCATTATCGTAAAGTGAGTAAAATACAGTAAGCAATACACCTTGTATCAACTATCTGAAAATGCTCCCCAAAGACGCAAGCCAAAAGATTCTTTGTCGAATGGTGAACTAACCGCGTATACGGGTGTCGTTGAGCCATGATCGAAATGTCGTGACGCCACAGAAAATTTTATAGACTGCGTGATTGTTGTGGCGAATAAGATTAAGATTGGAAAGACTACATATTAATATACAAGGATACTGGATACCAAAATTAGTAATATCAACTTAAAGGCCAAAACCATATCAGTGTATATAACCTTGCATTAAATACAAGAACAAAAATTTCTGAACTTACTTATTACTATTACTATTGCAGATTAATATTAAAATGCAATCATACTAGCTGCAAGTGCTTGGGATAATATAAATAATGTTAACATCAACACAATTCAGAACAATTGGAGAAAAACTCAAATACTTAATACTGACACAATTTAACATGGATGTTAATAATGAAATGAATGCATTCTTAATGAAGAGGAGGGTATTGGCAATGATGATTATATTCAACGTTTAATTGACTGATTACCTATTACTTATTACTATTTCAGACCCCTTTAACAACAGATTAATTTATTATTCAAAACAACAATGAGCTCAATCTTCAAGAAATACCCACTGACCAAGAGATAATTGGACATGGTAAAGTATCCTGACAAACTGACAAACCTGATGAGCCTGAGGAACAGACTCCTATTACTATTGTCAAAAACAGTGAAGCAGTTCACAGACTAAGAGTAAATGTAATTACTAATACTAATTATAATTACATTAGTATTAGACAGCAGAACCAAGAGTTTGTCATCACAAGTGAGAATTTTAAACTTTATTAAGTATAAAGAAAAAAAAAACTTTTACATTCAATATCAATTAATGCTAAGCAACAAGGCACCTTAGATTCATTTCTAATACATAATAGGACACTATCAACGCTATTTCTTGTGTAATAATGTGTAAATTAAAATGTTTGTTGAGTTGATATGGTAATTTATCTCAATACTATGCACAATAAAGCTAACTTTATTGACAAACCTGAATATGAATTAGTTTTAGGAAGCACATGGCTAATGAGTTGCAAGACAGCATATTGATAGATGTCAACTGTCAAGCCATGACACATATCTCTTGAATTGACTAGATGAAGCATTGTCTGTATAACTGCACGTTGGGAGTGAGTACATTCTCGCAAATTCACTAATACTCCGCTGTGCATTTTTCGTCATTCCCAAGTGACAGCAGAATCACCTTTTGAACCCATTTTCCGTAAATATGTTCAAATCTGTCCTGTAGTAGGTGAGAGTAATATATTAACCTTTCAACTTTTTTCTTCAAAATAGCCCATACGTTTTCAATAGGATTCATATCGGGGCTGTATGATGGCGGAAGGGAAGACTCGTCCCGGAAGGCGGTTTTCCAAATCCCGTTGAACATCACGTAAAGTGTGTTTCGGGTCATTGTCTTGGTTGGAAGACCCAGTTACAACCACGGGGCAACATGTCCGCATTATTATATAAATGTTCATTTAGAATTTTCCGGTATAAAGGTGCTTTATCATAGGGGCGACAGGTTTTGCGTTGCGGGACCATGCATGAACAGTGTTAGTGAACACTTGAATAGTTGTTTTCACCAGAGAAAACAACTTTCCGCCAATTATGTCGCGCATGTTTTCGTGCCCAAATTAAACGATTTTCTTTGGTTTGCTGGGTTAGAAGAGGAACTTTTCGCGGAAGAACGGAAACAGTTCGCTAACCTCGAGTTTTTTGTTTACATTTCTTTTTTTAAACCAATGTTACACTGTCTAATTTGGTAATATGAACAATGGTCCCAAATCGGTAAAATGGTGACACTAGTACTAGAACAAATGAAAACCCGGGATCTCCTTCGCCGTTCTTTTCGCCGGGGACTGTATGTGCTAACAATGAGTTGCTGCTTATATTATTATTAACCTGTTGCCTGTTTTTGCCTGGTGTGTGCTATCACTAATTATAATTGCGTTCCATCCCAACAATTATTTAGTATTAGGAAGACAGCTTCTGCCCATGCATATCTTATCAACTACATGAATCAGACTGTTGATGCTTTACTTACTGTTACTCTATTAGTATTAGTGAACAGTATGATCAGATACAGACGGAGCATTCAATGAATATGAATGCGTTCCGGGATATGACTATGCAGGCTGTTGAAGAGAGCATAAATTCAATGACCATCATAATCAGGGAAGAGGAAGTTTTGACAGTGTAAGTAGGGATAGATGTTGGACTAATTATAATGTTATCACTTCAACTGTGAAGTTCAATAGTATGCTTATATGATAGTTACTATTACTATGCAATATTTGAGACAGCATGCTAACTATAATCTAAAGTATTTTATGGAATTTCTTCTCAAACCACTAAAGAAATTTAAAGTATTATTTTATCGAGAAAAAGACCGTAATAAACAACTTACATACTTGAAACTCCTAATATACAAGGAGCTAAGAAAAATTCTCCCCAATACTTGTTCAAGTGATAACGCAATCATGGATTTTCCAAAATCGGATTTCAATCCTTCTCAAGACATATGCCGTATCGTCGATAATACTATTACTATTGGTAAAGTTAGCACAGCGGAGAAAAATATACCTAAACCTTTGATTTCTTTATCTTCAGAGTTTCTCATTAAAAATGAATCTGATATAGATAGCCTGATTATTCTTTTACAAGAAAAGTTAGAACAATGGAGAGCCAAGATTGCTTTTGAAATGCGGAATAATCAAAATTATTGGAAAAAAGAGCGCGAGAGTATGAGTGAGACCGACTTCTTAGAATATAAGCGAAAATTTGAGGCTAAAATGAAGGTTCCTACTACTCCGCACAAAAAATAAATCTTTAGCAATCATTGATTGTTATAAATGTTTCAGCAAAGCAAGTAAAGGTGCCAAGACATTATCATCTAGTTAAGTAGTAATTTCTGGAGAAGAGAGATTGCTACATTCAGCTAGTTATATATCCGGGTAAAGGGGGTTTTGTCGCCTTTTACAAATAAATATAAGAAAAAATTCAAATAAAAAATTATTACTCTGATACCCCGCCTTTTTGCAGTAACTGCTCAAAGCCAGAAAAAATTAGATAATATATATAAAAAACAAATTAGCTATACATATCTGGACACGAACTTGTGAGTGGGCAGGATTTTATATAAGGGGTTTTTTGTGCCGTGGAATTTTGATCGAAATAAAGTTCCATGTAAGTGCTTTCAATATTTGGGATAAGGTAAATTATTTAATAACCGTATAATTTTGATCGAGATACAGTTTCGGGTACGTGATAGGCTAAACTGATCGCATAATTTATATGTGGTAGTATGAGTAGTACTAGTAGAGACAACTTATGCTGAAAATTTTGGGCCATCGAGGTGGAAAGGTAAAATTTCGGGACAGCAAACCGCAGATATAGTTTGACCGTTTACTTATAAAAGAAAGTAGAAGCTAAAAACATATCACGCGATTTTTGGGACAGCAACATTGCATCACATCGTAATCGGTATCTGAAAGCACTAGCTATGCGAGAAAGAGTTCTAGAAACCAAAAATATATTACGTTGGATTTTGGGACAGCAAACCGCATAATTTTTATCGATAGCTGATTCAATCCAGCCGTCTAGCCAAATTCTTTCTTCAGGAAAATGTCCCTGAAGTTATTGACTGGTCGAAAACTCTGGGTTATTGTTCAGAATAAGGTAGAAAAAAGAATGCCTCAAAACTGTGGTAAATTAGAGCGTTTATGGTTGAGAAATGGAATGCGATTCCCGATGATGTCTTAAGAAATTTAGTAAAGTCAATGCGAAAGAGATGTGAAGCAATTATTGAAAAAAATGGTGAACGCGTCTCATTTTAATAAAAACTAGCTTTAAACCGAGGTATCTTACATATTACTACTCAAAGCAACGGTTGTGTCATAGTGATAAATATTATTTTTGCAAAAACTTTTGTAAACATCTGTTTCGGACAGATAAGGCAGCTTGACAAATACTACGTGCCCAACGACTGGTATAGATAAGGTGTGTTGATAATAATAAATCCATTCTGCGTCATTAAATTATGTATTTTACAATAAGCTTGATCTATTCTGTAGGCAAGCATCTTGTCGTAAACGGGACTGAGGCCTATGACCTTGCTCAACAGCTTAAGAAAAAGTTATACCTCTCAATATTTTGGATGCAATTGAATTTGTTGTTGATGCTTGGAAAAACGTCAGTCGATCAATGGCTGGAAAAACTTGGTATACTTCGAACGCTGATCGGACTGAAACACTATGTGATACCGATATGATTGAATATGAAAGCCTCCAACACCTAATTGACAACTAGTACTAATAATCCAATGGATGCCATAGACTTTGTTCGTTTCGATAATGACGTACAAACTCGAGGAATGACGGATGAAGAAATTATTGATTCTGTTCAATTGACGTCCAAAGACGCGAAAGAGTGACGACAAAGACGAAACTGTTTCCATGACGAAAGTGTTAAATAGCTTTAATTCACCCCCACCCCTCCGCAGGTTTTTAATTGCGATGCAAATGCTATGTCAATAGTACACTCTTTACGAAAATAAGTGCTAAAGCATTATGTCAACAGTAAGAAACAGTCGACGTTAGACAATTTTGTCACCAGAATGTAGTTTGTATTATCATTTCAATAAAGCCGAATGTCGCAAAAGATAAATAGTACCTTGTATAACGATATTTTTATTCGTAACTATGTTATCACTACAAAAGAATTCTTGGTATTAACGATAACTCGCCAATAACGATGAAAATATGACCTGACGGAAGCATCATACTAATTGCAAGTGTAATTGCAAGGTTTACCGCGTACTAACTCCTTAGGCATGTTTTACAAAGTCGATTTTCAGTATCACATGATTTCATGAAAATAAAGTGTAGATCTCTATCCAACCTCAGCTTTGTCTGCAAAAAATGATCCTTCCACGAATACATTCCCTTCTCCGCACATCCGTCCTTCGCCGCACGCATCTAACTCAGCCAACAAGATCAAGGATATTCTCTGCAAATTATGCAAATGCATTGTCAAGATTCAAGCGTTCACCAGGTGAAGAACATTTGGTAACCACACATAAAACAAAGTCCGATACTCCTGGGTCACCGTCAGATCCGACATCACTCCGTGGGAGTGAAGCCATGACATGTAAGATATGAGTGGGAAAGAGAAAAGTTGGCATGGTAACCCCGGGTGAGAGAGCATGCACGAGAGAGTTGATCATGATTTGATTTAATTTTTTTTACATCATACAGCCTCTATAGCGATGGATTATGAAGTTGGAGAGTTTTTGGGTATGTATTGACCACAAAATCAAATGATGACTTATTAGTTTGTATAGCAGTTGGTCTACATCTTTCATTCGTCATCAAGACAAAGTGAAAACGGAATCAAGCGAAGGAACAGAAACTCGCGGCTATACTGTAAACTTTGGACCGCAACACCCGGCAGCGCATGGTGTTTTGCGAATGATACTCGAGCTCCGTGGCGAACAAATAGTTCGTGCAGATCCGCACATTGGACTTCTTCATCGCGGAACGGAGAAACTCATCGAATACAAGACCTACATCCAAGCTCTTCCGTATTTTGATCGGTTGGATTATGTCTCGATGATGACCAATGAACAATGTTATTCATTGGCAGTGGAAAAATTGTTGAACGTCGAAATACCAGAACGGGCAAAGTTTATTAGAACGATGTTTGGAGAAATTACGAGGATTATGAATCACATTATGGCGGTTATGACTCATGCGATGGACATTGGGGCCCTGACACCGTTTTTATGGATGTTCGAGGAGAGGGAAAAGGTAAATAATATTTAGGTTGTGAGTGGATTAGGAAGATAATGAAGGATATCGATAATATTTGATGGTGATTACGAAGGAAGATAGTACGGGCGATGTCTAATGACCGCTTTCTATAGACTTGTTTTGCAAAGAAATGTATCTCTTAATTCTACACCTTGGTACTTTACCGCATCCTAACCCAAAAGGATTTTTTCAACACAAAACCGTCCGTTTTTCTTTACAATCTCGATCCCCTCACTCACTCACCCCTTTCTTATTATCCACAAAGCTAATGGAATACTATGAACGCGTTTCAGGAGCCAGAATGCATGCAGCATATGTGCGCCCAGGTGGCGTTGCACAAGATATTCCACTAGGTTTACTCGATGATATCTACCAGTGGTCAACCCAATTCGCAACACGCATAGACGAAGTCGAGGAACTTTTAACCGCCAATCGCATCTGGAAAGAACGCACGATCGATATTGGTGTCGTGACAGCACAACAAGCGCTAAACTATTCCTTTTCGGGTGTGATGCTTCGTGGATCAGGCGTTAAATGGGACATTCGTAAGATGAAACCGTATGATGCGTATGATCAAGTCGAGTTTGACGTTCCTATTGGAACGAAAGGTGATTGTTATGATAGATATTTGTGTAGAATGGAGGAGATGCGGCAAAGTTTGAGGATTATACATCAATGCTTGAATAAGATGCCTTCGGGACCGGTAAAGGTTGATGATTGGAAGATTTCACCGCCAAATAGGGCATCCATGAAGGAAAACATGGAAGCGTTAATCCATCATTTTAAGTTGTTTTCGGAAGGGTATTCTGTGCCGCCTGGTGAAACCTACACTGCTATCGAAGCTCCGAAAGGAGAATTTGGTGTTTACCTGGTATCTGACGGTAAGCACATGCGTTCTGCGCGTCTTTTTACTTGCTGATACTATTTCATTGAAAACGCGGGGTGTTATAATTGCATCGCTTTCCAACACTGACTTTCTTTTTACTATTGAAAGGCACGAATCGACCGTACCGTTGTAAAATCCGGGCGCCTGGATTTCCTCACCTTGCAGGATCCGACTTTATGGCACGTGGACATTTTATACCGGACATTGTTACAGGTAATCCCAGAAAGTTGCGTACAGACAAATATGTTACATCGTGTGTGTTTATTTATCCTCTTCTATCTGATTGCAGTGATTGGCACGATGGATATAGTGTTTGGCGAGGTATGTGTCGACATATCTGGGTCGAAGTCTATTGTTCTTTTTATGAATTTGTTATAACTAACCTCTTTGTTATTCATATTACAGATTGACCGATAAGGCGACAGTATAAAATTGATATGAACAATGCAAAGACGCGTACGATGAGAATGGGCAGATGACTGCATCTGCGTAAATGATCACATGTGGAACATCTCTTTGTGGCTAAATTATTTTGGTGTATTAATGAACAATTACTTAACAATGTTAATGGTGACCTAACCATGAGAACCAATTTTACCATAACTATGGTATTTGCCAATGTTGCGGAAAATTCACGCTCGTGATCAGAGTGTGAAGCACAATTTGAAGACTGTGTGTTACAATCAGTTGTTCAGAACAGTTTCTCATCTATTGTTCCCTCTGCAATTATTCATTGCACGCCTCGAGGACGTTCAATAAATATGATAATCAAGTTCCGTCCTCGGAGAGTATATTCTTCGCGTCTTTGTTTTTACTCTTTCTCGGATCTTTGTACTTGACGTTCTTTCTATACGCTAACAAATCTTCTGGGGGAGGTGGAGGATCAGTAACCTTCACTAACAAGAGAGCTGCTGCCGCCTATTTTAAAACGTGATTATTAACGCGTCCTCTCCTAATCTCAAACAATTATTTCAGATACAGACCTGTGCAATCCCAAAGAAGAACATTCCAAGCAATGGCAACCTAATCAATGGATAAAATGCTATGGAAAATCCTAACAGGATGCCTTCTCTCTCTTTAAACCACTCTTTCTTTTCCTCATTTCCAAACTTAATCCTACTAAAATACGGCTCCAATACTTCTCGAGTCAATGTCCGCGTTACGTTCAACGTCTCCAGAAACACAATCGCCAAATATTTAGTTCCTGGTGTGATATACATTAACACGCCCACCGCACATGCAGGGTAGAGCCCGAGTAAATTTATCAGATACCAAGCACTTGCCGCCGGATACACCATTCTCCCGACAAGAGGGATGAATGAAAGCATATATAACGCGGTTGCATTACGCATTTGTATTAGAGTACGCTTAATATAACGTTTCATCTCATCCCAATAGTTTATAGTATTATCATATTTTTCTAACAAAGGTGCATATGCAGGACGGAGATCAGATTCATCATTATGTTTTTTGAGGTATTGGTAATCGACTTGTCGTAACGATTCAAGAAAAAGGGAATCAAGCGGTTCTGGATATATATATCGCATGAATAATAAGCCAAACAGGGGTAGATTGAACACCCAGTTTGCTACCCATGATGAAAAATCGTTATCACCCAATCCGGTATTTGAGAAACCAATTATGCGGATGAATATGCCCAGAATGAAACGAAGTATTTTTAAAGGAAGTAATAGGACTGTCACAGAAAGAACGTAGAGTATTACAGAGAAAAGACATAGCCAGAGGAATACTTTCATATAAGTATGCCTATACAAGTGGCGGTTTTCAAAGGCAAGGACAGAACCTAGCCAGGCGAGCTGCAGTCCACGAGTTACTTGAGTAACTGACCAAGTCATAGCAGAATTGAGAAAAGAAATTACTTTGCATTTTTCGATCAACCGTTTTAACAGTTGGAGGTTCAAGCCACAGCAGTGGCTGATTGTCATACAAGATTGTCAACCTTTTTTAGGCGCTATCAAAAGTTCCGACTCGCATGCAATAATGTCTGCTGCCAGACCTCTTTTCAACTCGTCATCCTCTCTTCTTTCCCCTATTTCACTCTATCGCCGTATTCTTCGCATTCACCGTGCGCTTCCACCATTACAGCGCTCCCTCGGTGACGACTATGTCAAATCAGAATTCCATCGCCACAAAGATATCGTCAACCCTGTCCATGTGGTAGGATTTCTCGGACAGTGGCAAACTTATTTGGAAGAATTAGAAAGACAGGCAACAAATAAAGATAATTGGGGGAAGCCAATTAGTGAAGACTTACTGGACAAGTTCTCTGATGAACAGATTGGACAATTGTGCGCATTGAAAAGTGAAGCAACAAGTAACATTAATCAGGAGAAGGAGAGCGAGAGTGAAAACTTACAAACACGTGAAGTAGAGAATATGGTGAGATAGACAGATGAGGCGTTATCGACAATCGGGGGTAATTACTACTTGTTATATACATGTTAGAATGCAGCAGGCATATTATTTTAATGGGTTAAACAAACGAGTCGAATGAAGGCGAAGAGAATCAAAAAATAGTGAGTGACCAAATTCGGTACTACCATAATTCGACATAGTTATTGTTCATTTTCTAACCTTTAGCCAAAATTTCCTAAATCGTACTATTTACAGGATTAAAAACTTATACTGTTACTATTACTACTTTTAAATTTTCTATGCATATCCAGGAATGGTTCCTATATAATGCCAGAAACCACGTTGTCCAGTAGCATAGTCCCATATATTGACCAAGTTCTTGGTCATAGTCTGCAAACCCCATACTCCGACACGTTTTAGTCGCTTATGACGTTTCTGTTCGTCCATTGTTAAATCTGCAAAACACCTGCCAATCATAATCGACACGTCTTCGGCCAGACCACAATCGTAAAGCGTCCATGAACCATCAAAATCAGACTGAAAAGGAAATTACATAAGTACAGGAAACCATACATCGGTAGTGACATAAACTGATTGCTTACCAGATTCTTTACGATCTCAAACTTCATTGATATAAGGGTTCTATTTCCATTAATGTAGGCAGCGATAGGACGAATCAGTGCGCTGTCTATAAAGGACAAGTTCTCTGCCACGAGAGGAACGGATGCTTTAACATCATGAAAGCGCACGCTTAGATCTGCTTTCAACATCGAGTCAGCCTGTTCTTCCCGTTCTTCTTCTTGGCTCTCTGCTTCGTTGCTGTTGACACTGCCGCTAATGCCACTAATATTGTCATCAATATTGTGATGTTCCCAATTGCAGTCCACATTGTCATTACGACGCCATATGACAACAGGTTTTTGTTGAACGACAACGTCGTCTATCTTCTCGACGATATCATTGACTAATTTTTTAATGACGTCGTCATAAGTGTCGTCAGGAATCATAAGATCTGCGTGGAGATCGACGGAGCCCGAACATATCCATCCGAATGGTCCTGGAACTCCGGTATTTAGATGGTCGATATTCAAACCATCGATTCGAAGTCGCGACTGTCAAGAAAAATTGTGTATGAGTATAAGGATAATGCCAATAGCAGTTTATTAAACAACGACTACAGTCTAATAATACTACTATTGCAATTAGACTATTGTGACAATAAATATCATTAGTACGGCGCTCCGGTTCGGTTGCAGTCTAGTTTCCCTAGAAAACGACTGAAAACGATTATTCTTTTGTAAACCCTCACTCACCATTTTTTTCCATTGTCCCTCTCCGCCCAATCTATCCTCCCGAATAGAAGCACTATGAACACTAAACAGACAGTTGTCAAAGGTCCCAGTAATACTCTTTGCGCATAACATATCATACATCAACCACTGCTGTCTCAGCCTCGGCAAGTACGCATGGAATATTGCAATGTTGTATGGGCGAAAGTTGCCAGGCTGGTAAATAGTTATTAGGAGATCCTCGATGTGAAAGGAATCAATTTCAAAGTCACCCGGTTGAGCCAGACGACGCCATTCTTGCGCAATGTAGGGGACGCAGGAATCCCAATGTACAGAGCGACGGTCTGAGGTGTAAAATAGAATTGTTACTTATCACTTGAATTGCTTGTAAAAGATAATAACGAATCAAATTTTCTTATCATGATTTACCAACTACTCCACGAACTCCCTTTACGACAGCACTCTTGATAAGCCCTTTTCTGTCAAGCCATCTCACAAAAGACAACTCAACGTCAATTTTCTCGATAGTCAAATCGAACATTGTGAAATTATTGTCACATTGCTCTTCCTCTATTTCGCCCTCAGCAAACACAACGAATGGTGGCGTTCTATAGTCTTTACTCGAATGGGATCGTTTAACAGATACGTTCTTCAGGCTAATCTTTCCTTCTTTCCAGTTTGGTACTATTGCCGATTCGAATACAACTGTTATGCCTGTTTCACGTGTGAGATAACTTCCAATTTGACGGGCAATGAATTCTAGTCATGGGGAGGGAATAAATGCGCATGTTGTTAATTCTGCCACTATCCTCTAGGGAAATCCATTTCAGTCGACATACCTTGAAATTGTAAACTGTTTGCCGTAGCCAATAAGAGACTGAAAAACGATGTGGTTCCAACAATAATAAACAGAGTATTTCCAACAAAAACCCACGAGAACATTGCCATAATATCGTCCATGGTAAACGGCCTCACTTGTCTCATTAGCGTATATTTAATTCTGATCATCATTCGATTAAAGAAACCCGTTGCGTTTGCTAAAAGTTCAGCCTTTGTCGGACGGTGTGGACGATTAGGATTTTGTTGTAGACGATTATGGGTAGTGCTTATATTAGAGTAAGGTCGCGAACAGCGTAACAAGCGTGAAAAAGGGGAAAGTCTTGTTAGGGGAAACCATGGATATCTTTGAAGCGATTTTTCAGGTTTCAACTTTACAAAAAAGGCTTTGGGGAAATAAACATGTGACGTTTGGACGGTATATTTATGAATAGATGACGGAGTAGTATGAAATGGGGAATGCTTGGTTCTAGCGTCAACATTAATAGTGACAGATCTTTTAGATATTGAACGAGAGTGAATGTTAATGGCTGCTGGACAGGAAGACCGTAATTTTGCTAGCAACTGTCCTTTGTTAAAGAGAGAAAAAGTGTGACTATCTCTTACTATTGAGTTTACATTTTTTGTGGAATATGCATCATTCGTAATGTTTCTAAAGAACTGTTTTGTAATGTTCTGTGACGTATTCTCAAATTTATCCAAAGTATATAATCCACCAGTTTTGGCACAACGCGTCACATTTCTTTCTAGTAATATTTTTACGTTTTCTATCCAGAATCTTCCTGGACTCAACCGTGTCAGCGAGTCCATATTCTAATAAGCTTTTCTTCCTCGAATCTAATTTTTTTTTTCCATTCGAAAGATTTCTCGCAATTTCCGGTTGACGATCGATGATCAATTAACACACACGTGAGCTCATGAAAGGGAGGACAAGATAAATCTGCATGTGAAATTTACACAAATTTGTTTTAGCGTACACATAATTTTTAATATTAAACGTCAGAATGCAGTAATAATTGATCAGAAACCCTTTATATGGAATCACAGCAACACGAAACTTTTGCTATAATAATCCTCGGGGCGTTGGCAACAATGGCTATGGATTGAAACGGGCATTTAGCAAATAGAATTTAAAACTCGGGGACATTTTGGACAATAGTTTTCCAATCATAATTTCTTATACAACTGTGATAAGGTCTACTGAAATGATTTCACTGATTCAGTGTCTAAACTGTCGGTTCATACATAGTTCATTCGGCGTTTGTGTAGAATCTAACTACGTCTTCATGATTGTTCAGAGACACAAGGAACTTTTCGAATTGACCTTCTTTCTCTTCATCTCCACTGATTTGTACAGTATTCGTCGGAATATACTCTACCCTCATTTTAATGATTTCGTACCCTGAAGCGAGGGACGACGCGATCGCTGATATCGATGTTGGAGCACACATTATCTATTTGGAAGTAGAGCGAAGAATTAGATAATGTCCATGTATAAGGGAATGTTATAACACTCATTTCCACACTTCCCAAGTTAAGTGTAAAATAACATACCTCTAGCACGTCTTGATCCAACTCTCGTATGTCTTCCACTCCTTCGATTTCAAGTGACTTTTCCATCATGATGTCTATTGTGTCTTCCGTAGTACCCTTGGTAAATTGGACTATGCCTTAATACCAAAGTGAAGTGAGTGTTTCTGGCAAAACTATTTTGTACCAGGCAAATTGCAATTCACCTTTTCTGTCAAAAATCCAAGACACTTCTGAGATAGATCCACTATATTTGATGATATGAGATAATAAATACCTATGCCACAACTTAACCAGTGTTCTCATTCTAGAACATAGTCTTTAAATTCACCCCCTACCCG